AAATAATAAGAAGGGCAGTGGACAAGATAGAGGGAGGAGCGAGTGGCACCAACAATATTAGGAATAAAATGAACTGTAATTGCAAACTGACTAAAATTTTAAAAATTGTAAAAATCTTGCCATTATGTTTTTTTGGGGTTTTGTTGTTTTCGTGGGACTGGGATTTGAACTCAGGGCTTTGCACTTCAAATCAGGTGCTGTACCACTTGAGCCACACCTCCAGTTCATTTTGCTCTGGTTATTGTGGAGACAGGGTCTTGTGAACTGTCTGCCCAGGCTGGCCTTGAACCATGATCCTTCTGATTTCAGCCTTCCACATAGCTAGGATTATAGACATGAGCCACCAGCACCTGGCTCTTACTATAATTTCTGAAAACTTATATTGACAGGCAATTTCTTAGCAAAATTGAAATGGAAAAATTTGAAGAGATGGAACCTGATCAGTGAAAGTGTTTTAAGAGACTCCAACTAATCACAATGGGTAGGCCTTATTTGGATTCTGATTCAAACAAACTAAAGAGATCGCCTTTGAAAGAACATAAAGTTTGAATAAAAAGAAAGGCAGCCAGGTGCCTATGGCTCATACCTGTAATTTTAGATATTACAGAAAGACTGACATCTGGAGGACTGCAGTTCAAGGCTGGCCTGGGCAGATAGTTAGCAAGACTCTGTCTCCAAAATAACCACAGCAAAAATGGACTGGAGGAATGGTTCAGCAGAAAAGCACCTGCTTTGTTTGCAAGTGTGAAGCCCTGAGTTCAAAATTATTCTGTATGATAGTAAAACAGTATAAAACCACAATGAATAGTCATAATAGTCATACTGATCACTGGCACTGACCAAAAGGTCTAGATTATAGTCACCAATACTTCTATTTTTTTTTTAAAGTGACAGTAAAATTTATTGAAGGTGAAGGGAAGGCATTGCAAGAAAAAACAATGATGGACCCTGGCCAGGTGGGATGAAGGCCAGTCTTTTTTTTTCAAAGGGCTTTTATAAATTTGGAAAGGGCAAATAGTGGGGAAAATCTGGAATCCACTTTGCAGAATGGGCTAAGGTGACAGATAAAATGTGTAAAATATTAAGTTGTTTTTTTTTTAGTTTTGTTTTTGACATCTTTTGATTTTATTATTTTTTCACTACACTTGGTCAAAACCACATGTAATAAATCCACGAATAGGGTGGGCTTACCATCTAGTTTCACTGAAATGAGAAGATGTCACTTCATTTTCTAAATCCAGCCCCAATCCCCCACAAATTGATCTGTGAATTTCTAGGTTCCTTTGAAGTTTCTTTCTAGTATCTGTGTCTGCTACTTGACAGCATTCTACAGGTACATACAAAGACAACATGCAAGTCTTATTCCAATAAGTGTTTTAACAACTTTAGGTAAGTCTAGGTGGGAAAGGAGTGAAAAGTAAGATTCACTTTCCGTGTCACACATGAGCAATCTTTTCTGCATAAAAGAATAACCAGAAAATGGCTAGTTTTTTTTTCATAATCTTATTTTGAGAATGCAGGAGACTAAACTTCCCTGAAAAATAGAAAGACTTCAGTTGCTACCTATTCTTTACTGTTAAACACCATTCAACTTACTACTCAGTATTCTGTATAGAACTAACCTCTTAATTACTCTCTTTTGCTAATAGACATTTGATCAAAAAAACTTTTCTATGAATATAAATAACTTAATGATGTCACTGACTTATTTTCCTGTCCAAACCTCTTATTTAAACATTAAACTTGGGTCATTAGCTACATCTCCATAGTTTACCAAAAGTATTTACTGCCAATATTTTAGCCAAAGTTGCCATGGGCAGAAGTCCCTTATTTTCTCTATTTGAGTAAAATATGTGATTCTAAAGAAGGACCTGTATAAGGATATTAACATTATTCAAATTAACATACAACTTGGATGCAAACAAAAAAATATTTGTTTTAATAGCAAATGAAAAAAAAGTATTTGGAAATATGTTTGATCTGAAATGTAGGATAAAATGCCTTAACAAAAAGGGCAAAAAGCTACTTGGGATAAAATCAAGCTTTGAGTTTCTGCTAGGGCCATCTGTACTTATTATTTTAAATGTAAAGTAAAAGAATAATCTTTTTTTTTTTTTTAAAGTTGGTGTTTTGGGTTTTGTTTTATTTTGACAGTCTTAGGGTTTGAACTCAGGGCCTTGTACTTGCTAGCAGATGCTCTACACTTGAAGTCACTTACAACTCTTTTCTGTACTGGTTATTTTTCAGATAGGGTCTGACCAAGATCCATCCATTCTAGCTGGGGATGACAGACACATGACTCCATACCCAGCCATTGTTGAGATGGGATCTCATGAAATTTTTGCATTGGGCTAGCCTCAAAACTGTGATCCTCCAGATCATCACCTCCCGAGTACGCTAGGCTTATGGCATGAGCCATGCACAAGTTTAAAAAAAAAAACTTAAAATAGCATTACCAAGGATTAATTAGAGGCCTACACACACAGTTTCTAAATGTTTAGTTCACAGTTTATTGCGACAAGCATTTTCATTGTTTCCAAATAAATTACCACGGAACTAAGTTTCAAGTGTGAGGCTTTTAAATCTATTCTAGAAAGTATAAAATATTAAGTTGTTAGGGCTGGTGGAATGGTTCAAGTGGTACAGCACCTGCCTACTAAGTATGAGGCTCTGAGTTCAAACCCCAATACTGCTTAAAAAAATTAAATTGTGTAAATATCCCAGAATTTGGGAGGCTGAGGCAAGAGTTTGAGGACCGCCTGGGTGACACAGTGAGATCCTGCCTCAAAAAATTTGTTTTAAAAAAGGAAAGAAATCATGGAATTAAAATAAGTAATCATATAATAACAAGGCCTTCTTACATATTTCTTTACCACAGAAGCCACGGGGTAGGGGAGAGATATGTTTTTCATAAGCAACTATAAAAGATAAGCCCCAAACTGAACTACTGTTTACAATTCATTTCTAGACAGATGGTGAATTTCCCTTTAAAGAGATCCTATGTATCAATAAGAATAGCACCAAGAGCCTAATAGGAAAATACACAAAGCATGAAAGGCATGTTAAAAGTTCACAGAAAAGGAAACATAATTGGTCCCTAAAAGTACAAAAAAAAAAAAAACCCTTCAGCCTCACTTTAATAAGAAATAAAATTAAGCTTAGGTGCCATTTTTATCTGTAAGAGTACAAACATCAGAGATTTTGATAACATACCACATAGGCAATTATGTTATCAAACTAAACATTGCTGAAACTGAACCTCAGTTATAAGAATTAAGAAAGAAACACCATAGATTAATTAAAAAAAAGATAAATTCGGAAGGCATGATAGTCTGGTAGTGTTGAAGACACTACCAGCCTAGTGTCTTCAACAAAACAATGTCATAGAGAAAAAATATGTGGCAAGGAGGGATTGTTTTAAATGAAAAGAAATGTAAGAACTGTGGCAACCAATTGTAACATGTAGTCTTTGATTGGATCCTGACTCGAACAAACAAGCTACAAAAATAAATTTAGGGATAATTGGGAAATGTCATCTATAGACTGGACATTAGATGAATTAAAGAATTACATTTAATGCTACTATCATACTTGCTTGATATAATAAAGATATTTTGGTTTTGTAGGAAAATGTTATACCTTGGATTTGTATATGTTAGTATTTAGGAGTAAGATGTCATGATGCTTGTAATTTACTTGAAACCATTCTCAAGCAAAGCAAATATGATGAAGGAAATGTGATAACTGACAATTGTTAAATCTAGGCGATGGGTGTTCATTATACTAGGTTACATTTTTGTATGTTTCACACGTTCATAATAAGTGTTGAACACACAGAGTAAGGTTACAGTGAAAAACTTTATACACAGCTTGTGTACTCTATGGATCCTCCAAGATCTGCCAAGCTCTATCCTTGACAATATGAGAACTAGAATGGTGTTCTTTAAAATTCAGATTGTAATTTTTTGATCATTGCTAAAATCAACTGAGGGGGATCATAACAGGGATTCCTTTCTTCCTTCCTTTCCTTCCCTTCCTTCCATTTCTTTCATTCAACAGGGTCTCATGGTATAACCCAAGCTGGCCTTGAACTGGCCATCTTTCTGCCTCAGCCTCCAGAGTGCTGGTATTCCAGGTGTTCACCACCATTCTATTAAATACAATAGAAAATGCTTAATAGAGCTTGGGCTCAATGGCTCACACCTGTAATCCTTGCTACTCATAGTTCAAACCCCAGTACCACCAAAAAAAAAAAAAAAATCAAGAAAGAAAAAGAAAATGGTAATGGTTTAGAGCTAATAAGGGTTAGTAATATAAGAAACATTGTTATCAGATAGTCATACATGTAAGTTACTTTTATATATATGTGTGTGGATGATTATGGTGTAAAATCCATTTCTTCTTACAACTTGTGGGCAAAAAAGCTCAAAAGTCGCTGAGTTATTTCAGTATTTTCCACAAGAAGTTCCTGATATTGGTGCTTTCTTGGGTTTCTGATTCCCTTTAAAAAACCTTTTAATTTTTTAATTTTTTGCAGTGATATGGATGGAACTCAAAGCAAGTGCTCTACCACTGAGCTGTACCCCTAGCCCAAGTTCATTTCTCTTAATTTTAATTTCTTTGACAATGCTTATCTTGTTATACGTTGGTGGTTACCTAATGGATGTGATAGAAATATCCTAGTTCTTTGGTGGTACTAGGGTTTGAACTCAGGGCTTTATGCTTGCTAGGCAAATGCTCTACCACTTGAGCCATGCTTGCAGCCCTTTTAGCTTTGGTTATTTTTGAGATAGAGTCTCACATTTATTTGAATCTTCCTATTTACGCTTCCCATGTGGCTGGGATGAGAGGAGCCACCACCATGCCCTGCTTTTATTGGTTTTTGAAAATTTTTTCCTGGGCTGACCCTAAATGGAGATCTTCCCAATATCCCCTCCAGAATTTGTAAGCTCACAACCTGGTCAGAAAAATTCTAATTTCATTTGATTTGATTTTTCTAGTAACTGTGACAGAAGTTTTACCAAAGGAAAAGAAACAGAAAGATGAGAAGACATTAGTTCTTGGTCAAGCTGTGGTGGATCTTCTTCCTTTATTGGAAGGTCAGATGAGATTTTTTTCCCAAAAGTAAAAATAGCAAAGCTCATAAAATTCATCTTCAGAGACATGCAAAAAGTTAATGTCGATGAAATTGAAATATCTGAAAATGAGTATTAACTTAACCCTTCCTTCTTTGACTCATTTTGGCCTTTTTACAGGAGAAAGTTCATTTGAAACCACTGTTCCATTGCATCCTGTGCAGGGCTCACCCTTAGAAAGTCCTCGACCAGGCTTTAAGGTAATCAGAGTTTTAACCTAACTTTTCAGCCTGCCACTCAATCTAAGGAGTCTGTCTGCATCAAGGTCCAATTCAGAGTCCAATGCTTTGGGCCCCCTCTTTCCACAGCACATATAGTACCAAGTTTTGGGCAGCAAAGATGATAAGGCAGAATCCTACCTTCTAAGAGCCTACCATCTACCTGTCATTGACTATAACCCAGTGTGATGAGATGGGGGTATACACATGGGCACAGACAGGTATTAGTTGCCAGGGGTAGGTGTAGGGAAGGCTTAACCATGGAAGTACTTCCTGAGCTGTGTGTTGATGGAAGTAGTATATGAAATTACATAATCTGCTTTCAGGCATGGTAGTTTTCTCTAGCTGAAGACTTCTAATCCAACAGTTCTAGCCCAGACCCCTCTCCTGAATTCCAGAATGTCAGAGTTTACAAGTACCTACTAGCTTGCTCTGTAATGATACCCCATAGGTATCTAAAACTCAACATTCTGAAACTGAATTCAGTATCTTCCCTAAAACCTGCTCTTCCTATTATCTTTAGTTATTTTGTCTAGTGGCATCACCCATCCATGAAATTATACTGTGTCAAACCTAAGTTATATCCCTGAATGCTCCTTCAGATCCTAACTACAACCAGTCAATCTACCTTTCACCAAATCTAGCCTTTTATATATCCTAAGCATCTTCAAGACTCTTTCTTCTTAGCTTTATTTCCTACTCTTTGCCTCATCTCTCATTTGGATCATTATAAATAATCATGTATTTGCCCTTGCCTCCCTCCCACTCACCCTTCCCACTGTTTACACAGTGACTTAAAAAGTGAATCTGTTGAAATCTCTTCCCCTGCTTAGTACTGTGTAGTTCATGGATTTGTCTTCTGCATGCATGTCAAGGTCCAGATTCTCAACAGGAATCCCACATCCTTCTTCAGCCTCTCCTACCACTCCTCTCCTTGTATTTATGTTTTAAAATCTGGAACTACTTACTTATACTGGACATCATTCTGTTTCAACTCCCTTTTACATAAACTGGATTTTTAATCCAGAATTGTTTTATCTTTCTTTCCTCTGTTTATCCATGTTGGAAATTCCTATTCATCCTGTAAAAGTCAACTCAGATATCGTCACCTCTTACTCTGCTCTAGTCCAATAATTAATTATTCACTTCCTCTTTGGTGCTCTTCAGGTAGAGCACTTTGTAAAGGTCTCTATTACTGTGTTTATTGTAAATCACGGAAGTATAACATGAGTTTCATGATGAAAGAGATATCTTTTTCATCTCTGTATCCCTAGTTCTGTAGTAAATTGTATAGCATATAATTGGCAAACAATACACATTTTTAAAATTAGTATTTTATTAGCATATAAGAGTTGTACAGGGGGATACATTGTGGTATTTGCATATGTACTTACAATATATCTTAGACCTAGGGCGGTTTTGACAATGCTGCATAATTTTATTCTTTTACAGCAATGCACGCTTGAAGTTAAGGTATTTGTGGCAGAGCCCCTACTGACCGCAGCCCAGGTCTTAGAGAGCAATCTACTGAAGGTCACATTGGAGGCTGCCTACTCTATACCTGACTCATTCATTCCTGTAGGGCCTCAACAGAACTACATGGTTGGTCTGCAAGTTCCATCAGTTGGAGAGGTAAAACTCTATTGCCATATATTCATGTGAATTCAAACAAGTCTGTACTCATATGACCATCTCTTATCTCCTACGGTTTCATTCTACTAATGACTGAGATTTATTTTAGTCTTAAAAATAAAGTTTCTTTCTGTTTTATATATTTATAATTTACATAGTCATGTAATATATTATACATTACATATAGCTTATATTAATCAGTATATGTTTATGGTAGGAAATATGTAAGACATTTAAAAGTTGCTGATATTTTGGTATGTATACATTTTTTTTTTTTTTTTGCATTACTGGGGTTTGAACTTAGGGCCTCTACTGGGGTTTGAACGCAGGGCCCCGTGCTTGCTAGGCTCTACCACTTGAACCATTCCATCAGCCCCAGTCCTTCCTTGGTTTTAGGTATTTTTAAGTCATAGAGTCTCAAGAACTATTTGCCCAGGCTATCTTCAAACTTGATCCTCTTGATCTCTGCTCCTGAGTAGCTAGGATTATAGTTGTGAGCCACCAGAGCTCAGTCTTGGGTTGTTTTAAATGCATATTTTTGTAAGTTTTGTATAATGTACTTCATTATACAATGCTTTCTCTTAACTCCCTGTTATTTTCTTAGGCCAGATTTCTAGAAATAGGAACATTTGGGGATGAGTCTTTTGAGGCTCTTGGCAGAGTTTTCCAAATTGCTTGCTATAAAAGGCTTATTATGATCAGTTAACACTCTTACCTGCCTTATTGCCAGAGCTGTTTGTATGGACTACATTTGTGCAGTAGCAGTTGTCTAGCTTATCATTTGAGATATAGGGAGTTCCTAAACACTGGACTTTCAGTCCTGACACTGGGATAGTTGTAGGCAAATCTGGGTGGGACAACCCACATTACAATTCAAGGCAGATCTACACATTGCCCCTCTCCAACTCTGGGTTTCTTTTACATTTTTTTCTCTTTGTTTTTACTCATTTTGATTTTTAAAAGTACCTATTTATTTATGTGAGTACTTTTCTTCTGGAGAGCTTTGTATTATCCTTATTGATTTGTTAAATTCCTCATTTACTTTTTGGAAAATAATGCTTTTTCAAGTTTGCCAATTTATTTGCTATTATATTTGCTTCTGGTTTATTACTTATTTTTTAATTGCATTGGCATAGAAAAGGTTTTCTTAAATAATTAAATATTTTCCTTCAGGAATTTTAGTTTTCCTTATAGGTTTCATTTTAAAGTTGTAAAGGACTCCCTCATTCTGATATTTGATGAAAAGTCGTCCTTCCAGGTTCTGGTTTTATGCACGGTCTTAGTCCCAGCTGCCTGTCCTGCATAGGGCAGCGTTATTTAGAGTGAAATTTCCCTAGGTTGGTACAGCATCAGCTCATGAGTTTATTCCTTGAGTGTTAAGTTGCCACTGCCCAGTCTGGCCCCTCTAGAGTCTTATTTACTTCTTTTAACTTTGGCTGTTAAAACTTTTGCTATTCTGAGTGAGGTGCTGGTGGATTACACCTGTAATCCTAGCTACTATTGAGGCAGAGATTAACAGGATCACAGTTAGAGGTCTGTCTGGTCAAATAGTTTGCGAGACCCTATCTCAAAAAAACCCACACACACACACACACACACAACACACACACACACACACACGCACACAAAAGGGGCTGGCAGAATGGCTCAAGTGGTAGAGCACAGCTGCCTAGCAATGTAAGGCCCTGAGTTCAAACCCCTCTACCACCAAAAAAAACCAACCAACCAAACAAACAAACAAAACACCCCAACACTTGCTATTCTGTTTTACCCAGTATGTCTATGTGTTTGTTGCTGGAGTGGGGTCTGCTGACCTTAGTTTGTTATGGTGTTGGAATTAAAACTCTCTTTTCATTGAAAAGCCATTTATATTTCCTTTCCAGTAAACTCCCTGTTCTTATTCTTTGTTTTTTTAAAATTTTTATTTATTTGTTTATTTTGGTGGTGCTAGGATTTGAACTCAGGGCTTTGCCCTTACTAGGCAGGCATTCTATTACTTGAGCTATGTCCCTAATTGTCCTTTTTAATTTTTAAGATGTAAGACTTTTCCTGCTTTCACACTTGAAATCTTTTTTATTTGGGTAAATTGATCAAAGTACATAATATAGATGTATGCAAATATCACAAACCCCTTTGCTCAATTAACTTGTGTTAATAAAAGTTTTTAATTTTTTTTAAAAATTAAAATTCATTTTATTTGAAACATTTCAAACACACACAAAAAATATAGGAAATAATGTAATGAACTTCATGTGGCCAGCACCAGCTTCGTTAGTTCATCAGTGCCAGCTTTTTCCAATCATATATCCTTGTACCTAACCACCCCCAACACACCCACAGTTTTTTATTCTAGAGTATTTTAAACTACTTAAAGACATGGTATTTTATGAAACTTTTCCTATTGATTTGTAAATCTTTGTGTATTAAAGAAATTAGCCCTTTGACTGGGATGTGTGCTGCAAATAATTTTTTTCAGTTTATTGACTTTGTTTCAGGTATCTTATTTCCTCAAGATTTATTTTGTTTCATATGATTAATTTTTTTTGCAGTGCTGGGGTTTGAACTCAAGACTTCATACTTGCTAGACAGGCACTCTACCACTTAAGCCACTCTGCCAGCCCTTTTTGTGTTGGGTATTTTCAAGATAGGGTGCCTCAAACTATTTGCTTGAGCTGACCTTGTACTGAGATCCTCCTGATCTCTGCCTCCCTGGTAGCTAGAATTATAGACATGAACCACTGGCACCAGCTCATGTGATTAAATATCATTTTTATGTATAATTTCTGGGTTTTATGTCATACTTGGACTGTCCCCACTCTTACTTTTGAAAACCTTCCTATGATTTTCTTCTAGACTTTAATAGTTTTGCTTCCTTTTTTTTTCCTACCTCACTCTCTTCCTCCCTCACTCTGTTCCTTCATTCCTTTCTCCCTTTAATATTGAATTTATTTGACCTAAGAAATTTAGTGGTATTTAATTTTTTTCTTTTTCTTTTGGCAGTACTGGGGATTGAACTCAGGATCTTACCCTTGAGCCACACCTCCATCCTTGGATATTCTTGAATTTTTTTTCATATGAACTTTGCAGTCAGCTTATCTATTGTAGAAAATAATCCCATTTGCTGTTTTTATTGGGATGGTGTTAAAATTAAATACATAGATTAATCTAGAAAGAATCACGATTATATGCTTCCTATGTAAGAACAGGGAGTGTGATTTTCTACTAACCTACGTCTTCTGTTATGCCCTGAGTCTCATTCAAATTTTCTCCATACAAATCTTGCATACTCTATTGGATTTGTAACATATATAGTAATAGGATAAAGAACATGATTGTACACTGAATCTCCAAAAATTCGCATACCTATTAAAAAAACAACACGGGCTGGTGGAGAGGCTCAAGAGGTAAGGACTCCTGCCTAGCAAGCATGAGACCCTGAGTTCAGACCCCAACATGCCAAACAACAACAACAACAACAAAACCATCTTTTGATCCATTATGAGTAATTTTTGTATTTGGTGTTAAGTACGGGCCCAATGTCATTCTTTTGAATGTGAATATCCAGTTTTTCCTTCACCATTTGTTAGAAGACTCTCCTTTCCCATTGAATGAATGATCTTGTCACCCTCAATTTAGACAATTTTTTGGTCATTGTTCTTGTTATGGAGGAGCAGAGTTTCAGAGATCCTTACTCTGCCAGTCTAGAAATTCCTGAGTTTGACAAAAGATTTTTTGCTTAACCCAAAGGGCTAGAATTATTGTTTGTAATACATAGATACTAAATTTTATTAGAGTCTTCATAATTGCTTTTGACAGTTGTAGCAATTTACATTGACTATGTTTAAAAAATACTATTTTTGGCTGGTGGAGTGGTTCAAATGGTACAGTGCCTTCCTCATACTTGTAAGACCCTAAGTTCAAACCCCAGTCCTACCAAAAAAAAAGCACAAAAATACTATTTCTATTATGAATATTTACTTATTTATTTATTTTTGGTGGTAGTGGGGTTTGAACTCAGGGCTTCACACTTGCTAGGCAGGTATTCTACCACTTGAGCCACTCCACCAGCCTTTACTCTGAATATTTTCAGCACTTAATATTTTCAAATTTGAGTTTGCCAATCTATGGTTTAAAATGGTATCTCATTGTAATGTATATTTCACTGATTATTAACTTATGTGTTTTTATTTAAATGTCAGATTTTCTAGCTTCCTCTTCTATGTATTATCTATTCGTATCTTTCATCAATTTTCTATTGCAAGTACATTTTAGATAAATTATAAGATAAAAATGCTATATTTTTAGTTTCTTGTCAGATTTTGGTTTTTTTTTTAAAAGTAATTTTTAAACAGGTACAATCTTAACTTTCATATAAATAAAAATGATAGGGTTTGATCAAAGATTGCATTTAGGACTGGGAATATAGCTCAGTGGTTCAGTGCTTGTCTCCCATGCATTAGACCTTAGGCTCTGATCACCAGCAAAACACACAGACACACACACACACACACACACACACACATACACACACACATGATTTCATTTAATTAGAGAAGAAATCAGTAAAATGTAAAAACCATGTCAAAGGAGAATCTGAAGAAGTGACCTTTAAACAGGCTCCAGGAATGCTCAAATGAGTTTAATAATAATTCAAAACTTGTCATTAGCCCTAGGGCAATAATCAATTATGTTTCCCATTGGACACAATATATTTGCATATCTATGGATAAGAGTAATTTATGTTATTATAAATCTTCTATAAATTATAGAATAGTAAAATAACATAAAGACAGTGAAGGGCACAGGTCCCTATATAGAATCAGATAAATGACACAAGGATATGTTTGATAACACCAAGCATTCCTTTGAAAAGATACTCAGTAATCTTTTTGTCCATTTCAAAGTCCCTTACAGTTTTTTCTCATGTATGATATTTGTTTCTGTAGAAGGATTATATAATTTTATTCAAGAATGGAAATCTGAAGCTTGGAGGGGAAAGAGAACCTGTTCCTCGGCCCAAAAAGTGGCCTATTGCCAACATTCTGGCTCCAGGAGCTAATAACATTCCTGATGCATTCATTGTTGGTGGTCCCTATGAAGAAGAAGAAGGAGAACTCAACCATTCTGAGGTGAGAGTGAGCAGGTTTTTGTGATAAACTCAATGCATTGATAGATCAAATATTTTGTGAATCTCTGTCATTTATACATGTCACTTGTCAAAATGAAACAATTATATGTCTAGATAAAATAGTGATGTATCTAATTTTGATGAAAATGTTTCTCAACTTAAACCCAACAAACAAATTATATATGAAATTTACTCTTTAATTTATTTTATGTTTATTTCCTTTTTGCATAGGCAATTGTGTTAGTCAGCTTTCTTCCACTATAATGAAATATCTGAGATAATAAGCTTATAAAGAGAAAAGGTTTATTTTGGTTCACATTTTTGTGGCAAGGCAGCACATTGTGGCAGAAGTTCATGGCAGTACAAATCACTCACCTCATAGCCAGGAAGCCAAAGGAGAAAGAAGAAGGGACTAGAGTCCCACAGTATCCTTTGAGACCATGCCCACAAAAGCCTTAGACCCACGTATTGTGGTTCACATTTCTGTGTGTTGCGGGGGTACTGGTGATTAAATCCAGGGCTTCACCCTTGCTAGGCAAGTGCTCTATCACTTGAGCTACAACTCTAGCCCTAAATTTCCCTTTTTAAAGGTTCCACAACCTCTTAGCAGTACCTTTTACATATGGGCCTTTGGGGACATTCAATACCCAAAGTATAGCATAATAATACAGTCACAGTTCAAAGTTCACACACACACACACACAGAGCGAAAATCTTCTACTAATGTCTCTTCTTAATTCCTTCCCTATCTCACTATCCTAGTAGTTACCTTGTTACAATTTTTTGTGTTTTCTTGTAGATACTTCTTATACATATAAAAGCAAATAAATATAATCAAAGGAAGACTAAAAGAATCATTTAGAAAAGTAAAGAAAAAGTTTCCTCGTAAAAGAGTGAGAAGAGGGCTGGTGGAGTGGCTCAAGTGGTAGAGCACCTGCCTTGCAAGCATGAGACCCTGAGTTGAAACCCCAGCACTACAAAAAAAAAAAAAAAAAAAAAGAGTGGGAAGGAGTCAGACATCAGGACTAGCTCACCAAATAAAAATTAACAAGTATTTAAAAGAAAACAACATAAAATTGACAGGGTTACCCCATTTACATGATGAAAAACTCTGTTTTTTTTTTTTTTAATTTGATTATCAGCTTTTCAAAGGTCACAAAATACCTTCAGACTTCAACATAGTAAAAGGGATCTTTTTTTTTAGGGAATCCCAAAATATGGGAAGTATTTGAAATCTTATTATTTCTAGAACTAAAACCTGTCAGGAAGACACTGTTATTTTTGCTTCTTTGCAGGGTATAAAGTACTTCTGTTTTTTGATTTTTAAAATGAGTATATAAAGTGCTTAGTAATTTTGGAAGCAGGGGAAAATATCCTTTTTTTTGCCTCATATATGTATATAGACACTAAGATACACATACATGTATTCTTTCCCCATCATATTTTTATACAAATGTAAAAGAGTGTGTACTTACACACACTGTCATACAGTGCACACTGTTAAAAGTTGCTTTGTTTTGTTTTATAATGTAGTGTATCTTGGAGAAATATTCACATCACTTCATAAGGAACATTTTCATTCTTTTGCTTTTATGTATTTGCTATGTGACATTAAATAGACATATTTTAATTTACTTATTCAGTCTCCTACTAATGACATTCAGGGTTTGAAGTTATTCTTTTTCTTCTCCTCTTCCTCCTTCTCCTTTTTTTTTTTTTTGTAACTACAAGGCAGGTGCTGTACCATTTGAGCCAGTTGTCACCCCTTTTTTTAATGTCAGGTATTTTTGAGATAGGGTCTCACAAATTATTTGTCTGGGCTGTCTTTGAACAGTATCTCCTTTCTCTGCCGTCTAACTTTCTGGCTAGGATTCCTGCATTACCACCAACACCTGCATGGAAAGATTCATTCCTTCACAATTGACTTTTGTGGTGTTTTTTTTTTAATGTCAGGTATTTTTGAGATAGGGTCTCACAAATTATTTGTCTGGGCTGTCTTTGAACAGTGATTCTCCTGTTCTCTGCCTTCTAACTTCTGAGTAGCTAGGATTCCTGGCATGAGCCACCAACACCTGCATGGAAAGATTCATTTTCCTTCACAATTGACTTTTGTGGTGTTTTTACTTATTCATTTATTTATTTATTTTGAGACAAGTTCTTGCTATATAACCCAGCTGGCCTTGATCTTGAGTTCCTTTTGCCTCAGCTTCCGGATTGCTGTGATTACAGCTGTGCACCCAGCCTCTGGAAAACTTTTAAAACAATGGCAATGGCAAAGCCCTAATCAGACAAATTGCATAAGAATTTACTTCTAAAATGCTGAATGGAGCTTCATTATAGCTCCGTGGTACCACACTTGTCTCATATGCACGAGGCCCTAGGTTGAGTTTGATACCCAGCACTGCAAAAAGCAAAAACGACAAAGACAAAAACAAAATCTCAGCTGAGCACTGAGGTGCCTTAACATGTAAGGCCCTGAGTTCAGACCCCAGTACTGAAAAGAAAAAAAAAAATCTCCCCACAGACCAGGCATGGTGCTACTTGGTAAACTGAGATGGGAGAATCACTTTGAGTCCAGGCATTCAAGACCTATCTCAAAATAAATACTATTGGCCTCCTGGTGCTTACCATAGGCTGTGTTCTTGCACTGACTGTATAAAAATTATAGAGGAGGCAAAGTAAGCCTACTCTGTATATAGCCCAGCCCAGGCCCTATATTGTAAATGGCAAGACATGGGAGAAAATAAGTCAATACTATTACTCTCCAGGAGTGTCTGGGGGAGTTGCTGTTTTTACACTCCCAAGTGATTTTAATTTGCATCCAGGGTTGAAAATCACCAATCAAGGTTATGTGAATGAATATTTGATGCCTAGCACTGGATTGATGTAAGGATTATTTGAGTAATTTATATTATATACTTTATACATACATGAAATTTTAAAGTGGAGTTAGTAGTTGCAGTAGTAGCCATTGTAGTAATGAAAGTATTGTGATCAAATCTATCCAAAGAACACCTCACAGATTGAGCAGGATGAAACTATGGCACACACAGAGAACAAAATTCCCTATCTTATTATTTTTCAGGACAGGGAATTTAGGAATCAAGCAGAGTGCATAAAGAAAAGGATTATTTGGGACTTGGAAAGTCGCTGCTACCTTGATCCTTCTGCAGTTGTCAGGTAGGAACGGAAAGGGAGTATGTCTCACCAGCAAAGACTATAGGTGGGAAGAAAGTTATTTTTGTTGGTTTTCTTCATATTCAGGTTAAGGCAATTTGAGACTTTTTCTACCACTGCATTCACATGAGTTAGATATTATGTTCATCTGCTCATAACAGAGCCCCCCAGTGATGATGGCTCAACAAGGTAAGGTTTGAACTAAGGGCCATGTGCTTGTTAGGAGATGCTCTGAGCGATGCCTCCAGCTCTTTTGCTTCAGGTATTTTTTTTTATTTTAGTTTTATTCATTTCTTTTCTTTTTTTTTTTTTTTTTTTTTTTGGCACCACTGGGGCTTGAACTGAGAGCTTGCGAGGCAGACACTCTTACTGCTTGAGCCACTACATCAGCCCTGCTTTAGGTAATTTTCAAATGTGGTCTTGTGTTTATGCCCAGGCCTGCTGGACTGTGATTCTCCTATTTATGCTTCCTACATAGCTGGTATGACAGGCATGTACTATCACACCCAACTTTTATTGGTTGAAATGGGGTCTTTCAAACTTTTTGCCCAGGCTGACCTCTAGCCATGATCCTCCCAATCTCTGCATCCCTAAGAGCTAGGATTACAGGCGCAAGTCACCATGTATCCAGCCTTAATATTTCTTTTTGCTCCCCCTTTTTAACACACACCTTCCATCCACAAATCTTGAATCTCATGGTTCAAGATTTCTAGGTCTCTAGCATGCACATTCACATTGCCAGCAGGATGCTGGAAGAGGGAAGTGGTCGTAGATAAAAAACGACACATACAAGTTATTCCCCCTTAGGGTTCCTAGGCCCTTAGAACTTTTCTGGAATCAACTTCTGTTTACATCTTAATTGGATATCTGGATACAAAAAAGGCTAGAAAATAGATTGTTTTCTACATTGTTACACTGCCTAAATCTGGATTGTATAGGTAACTATCAGTCTCAGTCACAGTGACCTGGTGATTAGAGAGAGCTGAGAAACAGAAGATTATCAATATATGCAAAATAGGAATGAACAGCTCTGCGTTTTCAAAAATTAGTAGAATATTTTTTAGAATAATTGTAGATTTCTAGAAAAATTGAGTGGATATTTCAGGGACTTTTTATGAAATTCTGGTCCTCCACTTGGTCATGTTGTATAATTCTTTTTATACATTGTTGGACTTGATTTGCTAATGTTTTATTGAGGATACATTATTACTATTATTACTTCAAAGAAATAGTTTTATCTCTTAGATCAATTAAGAACTAAGAAAAATTTTTAATTTTGTTTTACCTTAATTTTTAACATTTTCTGATGTTCTTCCTTTTGTTCTGAGTGTCTGACCATAACATTTTCCTTGTCTCTAAATAAACTTTTAGCATTTCTTACATATATACTAGTACACATATTCATATAATCTCTCCCTATCAAGGCAGTCTACTGGACATAAGTTTACTTCCATGTTTGTTTGTCTAAGAAAGTCTGTATTTCTCCTTCACATTTGAAGGATAATTTCAATGAGTAAAGAACTCTAGGCTGGTGGGTGGAGGGTGAATCTTTCAAATTTAAATATTTTACTCCACTCTCTTGCCTACATGGTTTCTGAGGAAAAGTCCAATGTAATTTTTATCCTATTCCTCTAAAGGTAAGATATTTTTTTCTTCCAAGATTTTCTCTGGCTTTGATTTTCTGTGGCTTAAATATGATATAGGTAGGAGTAGATTTTTTGGCATTTATTGTGCTTGGTGTTCTCTGAATTCCTGTACCTATGGTTTGGTCAAACTATCAGCTCTTATTACTTCAAATATTTCTTCTGCTCCTTTCTCTTTTCTCCTCCTTGTATTCCTGTTGTGTTCATGTTGCACATTTTATAATTGTCCCACAATTCTTGGACATTCATATTGTTATGATTTTTTTCACTTTTTCCTGTTTACATTTAAGTTTGGAAGTTTCTGTTGACATATCGTCAAGCTCAGTGATTCTTTCTTCATCCATGTCCAGTCTTGTGATAAACCCATCAAATGAATTATCCATTTTTGTTAATGTTTTTTATTTTAATTTGATTCTTTTGCATTTCTTTTGATTCTTTTACATTTCCTGTCAATTCTTAAAATTTCTATGTCTTTGCTTGTATTATCCATTTGTTCTTGCATACTATCTACTTTTTCCACTAGAGCTCTTAACATATCAATTATAGTTATTTTAAATGCCCTATCTGATAACTCCAAAATTTGTGTCATTTGTGTCATATTTGAGGCTACTTCTAACGCTAGTTTTATCTCTTTAGACTAGTCTTTCTTGCCTTTTAGCATTCTTTGTAATTTTTTTTATTGACAGTTGGGTACTATGTATTGGGTAATAGGAATTGAGGCAATTAGAGTTTTTAGTGTGAAGTTTTATCTTAATCTGGTTTGGAGCTGGGATATATTTAATGTTTTTTGTAGTTTTAAGTGCCAGAGGCTTTGGGTTCATTTTCCCTTCCTCCCTGTTTTTTCTTTCTTTTCTTTTGCAGGAAAGGGCTGCCTCAGAACTCCTTAAATAGTCTGTGTTTTGCACTTCTTTCAGTCATGATTCACTGTTCTTATACTGGAACCCTGTTGATTTTGTGGCAAATTGTTGGGGAGAGGAAGCATTCTCTGTATTTTAATGAGTTTGAGTCCTTGGACTGTAACTTCCAGAAATGTTTAGATTTTTTTTTTCTTTTCTTACAACTTTCAGTGAGACAGAAGGCTGGACAGAGCTGGAATTGTTTAATTGCCCTACCCTCAGATCAGTTAAGGCTCTGGTGAAGTAGCCTCCCTTAAAGGTCAGGCCTTTGAAATATTTGAGAATATTTAAAATAGTTACTCTTTTCTGGTTTCCCTGCCTAAAACACAGGATGAACCTGACTCCGGCCTCCTGGATTTAAAACCCATGAAAATGTTAGACTAGAATCGAACTCCAAGGTAGTCAACTGTCAGCCTCCAACCATTTTCAAAATTTCCATTGAAGTATTTCTACTAGTTACTCTCCAGTGGCTCCTGTTGCCTGTCCACTGATCTTCCACATTGATCCTCTGTATTTTCCTCCACATTTCGGGTCACAGCTTGCCCTTAACTTCAATTCTCTGATAAAGCTAAGAAAAACTGCTGATTTTCAATTTGATTAGCTTTTTTTCTTACTGTGATGACTATAGACACTGCCTTAATGCTGTATCAGAGCTGAAACTGCAAGCCCCACTCTATTTTTACAGTACCAATAAACACATTTTTATTATTTGCAGAAGTGGAATTTATGGTTCAAAGATTATTTACATTTTTAAGGCTTTTCTTTTTAAAAAAGAGTCTTGTTATGTAGCCCAGGGTAGCATGGAACTTGACTTCAGGATCCACCTCTCTTAACCCCATTAAGGAGTTTGATTCATATTGCCAAATTATGGCCAAAAATGTAAAGTTGAGTAAAATTATTTTTGAAATTTTTAAAGGCTTAAAGAAAAATTATCAACCTAGCCAGGCATGATGGTACACTTGTAATTCTAGCATTAGTGAGGCTGAGGCAGGTTGTGAGTTTGAAACCAGCCTAGGCTACATGGGAAGTCCTGTCTCAAAGAAACAACAAAAAAATCACTTACCTAATACAATTTTTTTATGTGTATGTAGTTATATGTATTGCATCACTTTCAAAAAGAGAAGAATATTTCCATTATCCTGACCCCATTTTTGCATACAATGTTAATGGACTTGTTTGTTTTGGACAGTACTGAGGTTTGAACTAGTAGGGGCTTCATACTTGTTAGGCAGGCACTGTACCACACCTCCAGCTCAATAGACTGATTTTTGACTTTCAGTTTTCAGAAGCGAATTGCTGATTGCCGGTTTTGGCCTGTAGAGATCACAAGAGTTCCTCTGATTGCTGCACCCAAAGGGAAGGCTGGCAAACTTGATAAGGTAAATATGTACACTCAACAATATTTATTAAGGTGGGTATGGTAGTGTATACCTATAAGCCCAGCCATCAGAAGGCTGAGGCAAGAGGGTTGGCTTGAGCTTAGAAGTTTGAGGCCAAACTGGGCAACATAGCAGATCCAGTATCAAATTGTTTTAAAAAAAATTATACGGGAAGTGCTGGGTTAGACCAAACCTGGTTTTCTGCCTCTAATTCTGACACGAATAGAAAATATGAATGGATATGCTATTGTTCCTAGGGTGAGCAACTCATGCTGATTTGCCCTAGGCTTTTTTTTTTCCTGGTTTAGCACTAAAAGTCTCATGTCCCAGGAAACCTCTGTATCCTGGGAAAACCAGTATTATTGACACCCCCTCCATAGTTCTCTGTTTTTTACTAATAATTTTCCAGGCTTTATCTCAGATATTCTGTATTCCCTTGGTCCTTTATTATAATTAAAATAACCATTTTTCTAAGGTCAAAGTTGGCAATATGGTTCAATCTACTACATTTTTAAAAATTTCTTTTAGACTTACCTACAAAATGTTTTAGACTTCTAATTAATGTGATAGCATTAATAGATGCACCAGCATTCTGAAAAGATATAGCTTTGATGAGCCTAGGGCATGCTCTCTAACTTCTTCCCATGCATGTCTGGTCTTTCCTGGCTGCTCATAAATTTCCTGAGGGTAAAGATCATGTAGTAGTCTGCTTTATATTCTCCACAGTACTTAGCTTGATGCAGGTACTTAACAAGTATTAAGTTATTTCACTGATTTTAAGAATAGGGTTTTTTAGCCAGGTGCAGTGACTCATGCCTGTAATCCTAACTACTATAGAAGTAATCAGGAACATCTCAATTGTAGTTCAAGGCCAGGCTAGACAAAAAGTTAGTGAGACCTCATTTCAGCAAACAAGCCATATGTAGTGGTTCACAGCTACAATCTCAGTTACGTGAGAGGTATAGGTAGGAGGATCAAGGTCTCAGGCCAGCTTCAGGCCAAAAGCATGAGACCCTATCTAAATAAATAACTAAAAGCAAAGTAAGACTGGGAGTGTGGCTCAAGCAGTGGAGCACCTGCCTAGTAAACAGGTACAAAGCCCTGAATTCAAACCCCAGTACTGTCAAAAAATAACATGAAAAGAAATGAAGTAAAATAAACTAGGTTTTTTGCATGATAGAAATAATACCACCATTTAACCATTCCCCCATCTTTTATATAATATATTGGTTAACTTCCCTTAGATTTCCAAGCCATATAATGTTATCACATGAACGTAGAACTTTTTAAATCTAGTATGTAATTATTATCATAGTTGGTAAAATCAAAAAGATTGCTCTTAAGCTTGGAGTTTAATGTTTTCTCTCAAAAATTGATTTTTTTTCCTCATAAAAGCCAAAAGCATACAGCCAATGAAAATGATTTCGAGTAAATGTATTGACATGCTGGTCATCTTTGCAGTGAGTGTAGATGGGATTAGGTATTGCAGGTGCACAGTGGAAAGTCCTTCCTCCTCCCTCATCTATGGCAGATATTGCCAATTGATGGAAGCCCACTCCTCTGACCCAGATTAATACACAAAGCCTTGCCAGCAAAGCTTGGCCCCTGGGAGATGAGAGGTGAGTGAGCCGCTCACAGCTGGTACTCAGGATTTGAATCTGTCAACTACAGTTAAGAGTCAGAGCTTCTCATTATGTTTTGGATGTTATTATTTTTCTAAAGCTTCATTTTCTCCTAAGAAGTCACATGGTAAATTGGATTTTTTTGGTTGAATATATGTAGTGTCAGTTAATTTGAATATGTATTAATTTATATATTATCTCAGTGATCATGAAGGTAATGAAACTAAGTCTCAAAATGTCTAGTAACTGGTCCAAAGATACATAGCTAGTTAAGTAGTAGAGTTAGCTCCTAAAACTGACTGAACTACTGAGTCACAGCTTCACATCATATAGAACATTGCTTTGTAGCACTGACGACTCTGGTTTTATTCCTTTAGACCGAAGATGAAAGTCAACTCTCATTTCATGGTGTGGCCTATGTTAATATGGTGCCATTGCTGTATCCAGGTGTGAAGAGGATTCGGGGAGCTTTTCATGTTTACCCTTACCTAGACAGCACAGTCTTTGAAAAGGTAAGAAAAAATTAAATGAAAGGTATCATCCCTATCTTATCATTTATATACACATATATGTATATGCACATACATATGTATATATGTATATGCTTACTTACATCTTTAGCATATATATCTTTGAAAGTGATATTTAGAACTAGTTGGTATACTGGGATGCTTAAATACTCTTGAAGTCATTCTCCTTTGGACCTTAGAAACTTGAAGATAATGTAGAACCCCAAATTGGAAACAACCTAAATCTCCATCAAGAGGTGAAGAGAAAAACAAATTATGTAATATATCTATTTAGTGAAATACTGCTTGGCAATAAAAAGGAATGAAATATTGATGCATATAACATGAGTGAATCTCAAATGCATTATACTAAAGGAAAGAAGCCAGACAAGTACATACTATACAGTTCCATTTATATGAAGCTTTAGGAGAGTAATCTAACAGTGACAGAAAGCACTAATGGTTGCTTGGGGATAAGGGTAGAGGGAGAGGTGGATTGCAAAGGAACGAGAGGAAATATTAGGACAATGTAAAAATTGGTTTTCTTTCCATAGGCAGGTAAGAGTGCAGAGTGTTTGTATTGCTTCACAACTGTGCAGCAGTGAATGAGTCATTTCACCTCACCTGTGCCACAGTAGACATTATCATATTTTCAAGAATTGTGTCATTTTACAAGTAAAATGATAATTTGCTATATTTAAATCCATTTCTTCAATTAATAAATAAGGCCACTGTCTCTTCTTATGTTTACTGGCCATTAGCACTTATTTTATAAATGCTGTTTCATGTACTTTGCCCATTAAAAATGTTGGTGTCACTTGGACATGGTGGCTCACATCTGTTATCCCAGCACATGGGAGGCAGAGGCAGTAGGATCACAGGCTCAAGACCAGTCTGGGTTATGAGAACCTGTCTCAAAAAAAAAAAAAAAAAGTTGGTGTGTTTTTTCTTTTAGAGTTGAGAAAAAAACCTTCATGTTTTAGGAATAGTAGCTATATTTTTTACATGTTTTCAAATATTTTCCATAGGTTTTTTGGAAAGGGTGGGCACTGGGGTTTTGAACACTGTGCAATTGCTACGCATGTGCTCTACCACTTGAGTCATGTCATCAGTCCTTTATTTCCCCTAGTTTTCAGTTTAAAACCGTTTTATTTAAAATGGTTTCTTTTACATATAGAAACTTTTCATTTTTGGAATTTAGAATCTTTTCTTTGATGTCTTTTGTTGATTTTGAGAGTCAATATGAATTTGAGCCTTAATTCATATCTTTAGTCAATAGTTAATTTTATTTTATGGTCATCCTATTTAACTTTTTTTTGCAATGCTGGGATTTTAACTTAGGGGCCACACCTTGAGCCACTCCACTAACCCTTATTTGTGATGGGTTTTTTTGAAATAGAATCTCACAAATTATTTCCCCGGAGGCTGGCTTTGAACCATGATCCTCCTGACCTCTGCCTCCTGAGTAGCTAGGATTATAGGCATGAGCCACCAGCACCCAGCTTATAACTTTAATAAATTCATTTGAATTTTATTTTGATCTATGCTGTAACACTTTTGAATTCTTTTTTCATATATGTACACAGCATTAATAATTATTGTTTTGAATGGATGAATATTCTATCATTTTAATTTACCATAATTTACTAAGGCTTTCTTTATTGTTATATGTTGAATCTTATTTTTACTTTTTGCTATTCTAGATCCTCACAAAGTTTTCATGAGTATGAGCTTTTTGGTCCTATTAAGTTATTTCCTCAAGATAGATCCCTCTATAAATGTCATTTCTGGTTCAAAGGCTACTCAGAAAGAGTTTGCTGTTCAATTGGTGTGCAAGTAGATGATGTGTCTTTCATGATTTTATTACTGAAAAATAACTGTCCTAACAATGATGACATAATAATACACTTTTGCTGTTGTATTTTACAGAGGGTCCCCTTCCTAGGAAGCAACATGATAAAATTGACTTTTTTCTTGAATGTATAGATAGTCAACCGTCTGTTTCCATGGGGTGGGGAGGTTTGGTTCCAGTACAACCTGCAGATCCCATAATCCATGGATGTTCATGTATTTGAAGATTTATAGCAAGATTATTTATATTAACCCCAACTCACAACAACCCAAATGTCTGCAACTTGTAAATGGTAAACAAATGTAGTCTGCCTGTACTAAGGAATACGTGAATGCAAAAGGGATGGCTATTCTATTAACAATGCACTATCCCCACATCACTGGATCGTGCACATTAAGTGAGTAGCGTGTGTGGAATGTGAGATATGCTTTCTCTATAAAGCAAGGAATAAACTACTGATACATTCTATCATACAAGTGAACCTCAAAAATCACTCTTAAGTGAAAGAAACAGACAAAAGACTACATATTGTACAATATCACTTTTATGACAGTCATTATTCAACATATCCCAGAGTTGTGAAAAATTTTTTAAAGTTGGCATCTTTGAACCTGTGGTGTGTATCAATTATGGTAACGGTGGTAGGATCATGAGTGGTTTTTAGTATTTACAATTTTTCTGTAATACTTGAATTGTCTTTTTTTTTTTTTTTTTTTTTGCGATACTGGGGCTTGAACTCAGGGCCTTCACCCAGAGCCACTCCACTAGCCCAATTTTTTGTGATAGGGTTTTTTGAGGTGGGATCTCATGAACTCTTTGCCCGGGCTGGCTTCAAACTGTGATCCTCCTGATCTCTGCCTCCTAAGTAGCTAGGATTACAGGCATGAGCCTTGGGCGCTTGGCGTGAATTGTTTTTTTTTTTAATTTAATTTTTATTTTTTGCAGTACTGGGGTTTGAACTCAGAGCCTTGCACTTGCTAGACAAGTGCTCTACCTTTTGAGCCACACTCCCAGCCCTGGATTGTCTTTTTAATAGCATTATTGAGGCATATTGACAAGTAAGAAACTGTATATAAAGTATATAATTTTAAAATTGACATGTGTGTATATGTATGTACATGTATACATACACACACACTAACCTGTGAAACGATTAGCATAATCAGGGGAAGAACATAAACATACACATCATTCCCTTAAGTTTTCTCATGCCCTCTGTTACTCCTTTCTTCCACTTTTGTCTTCCTTTTTTTAGGGGGAATGTTTGTCTTTTCACGCAGCTTAAATTATTTTGAGAATCATCCATATTGTTTAATGTAAACAGTTATAAAATTCTGCTACCAAAAAAATAAATAAATAACAGAATCAAGTCAATGATGCTTTTAACTTTGTCTCATTTGCCTGTGATTCATTACATTTTTGTTTGTTTCTTTTCAGACCAAATGTTTATACAGCGTATTCCGGGACACTGGTCATCATTTGATTCATAATAATAAAATAGGAGGAATTAATTCTCCACTGTCCAAACCTGTTTCTAAGACTCTGAAAGAAGATAAAACAGTGAAGGAAAAGGAACTTGATGGAAAGCTTCGGCCTGGGGATGTGGTAAGTTCTTGAGAAGGTGATTTGGTTTTTTTTTACCTGCCAGAGGCTTACATTGGTTTCTCATTTGATGACTCACGTTAATATATTTTGCTTTTTGATGCAATGTAGTGATCATTGTTCCTGCAGCCCTGAAGACCATAGAACCCAATTTTTGAGGTACATTCATTTTCTTTCAGCAAGCACCTAGTATAAGATCTCAGAGCTCAGATACTCCTTTGGAAGGTGAAACGCCTCTTACCCACAATCCAGAAGGACAGGTAACTATGCATAAAATTTTGGAAACTTAAACTTAAACTTCATCAGATCTTTACTGAAGGAAACAAATGTAGTGGGAAATGCTCAGGACAGGACATCAGAGTGACCATACTATGTTTGGCCATGGCTGGTATATGGCCTTGGGCAAATTTGTTTTGTTGAGACTCTGTAAAGTGAGGAGATAACTTTAAGGTCCTTTTTAGCATTAAATGTTATGACTTGTGTGGACTTTACTATGTTAAGCATCTGAGGGGTGCACCTGCCCTCAGAGTACTCAGCTGTTTTAGCAAAACCTGACTGATACATTACTAACCATGATACAGAATTTTGATGAGAGAGGTATAATATAGTATTTACAATATAAGCTCTGTGTAGGCTCAGAGGAGAACAACATTGATATCTCTTCAGATGGATAGTCTCAGGAAAGGCTTTATGGAAGAGGTAATATTGGAACTAAGCAGTGAGAAAGAGAACCCTTTGCTGGAAGAAGATGGGCGGGAGGGGGAGGGGCATTTCAGGGCAGGTGAACAGCTTGAATCAAGGCACAGAGAAAATTTACAAAAGTAGAAATTAAGATACATCAATCAATTCAGCATATGGTAGAGAAGAATGAAAGGAAAGGAGAGGTTCTAGAAAGGGGTGAGTAGGCAGAGGCGGAGTTCAGGTTACGGGAAAACTTGAATGTTTGTTAAAACATTTGGGTTTTATTCTGTAAAGGTGATGAGGAACTTGAGCCTCATCTTAGAGACTAACATCTTGGTTTTGTTTGTTTTGCAGTGCTGGGGATGGAAGCCAGGGCCTTGTACATGCTAGGCAGACACTCTACCACTAAGCTACATGTCCCGCCCATGGAAAGTTTTTAACACGGAGAATGTTAAGTTGTTTTCAGGATCCTGGCAAAAATCTGGGTAGAATTGTTTAGTAGTCAGAGTGGGTAAATGGTAGTGATCAGATTGTGGTGGGAAGGAGGAGACATTTCTGCAGGACCCATGAAAGAGGACTGCTGGAAGAAAAAATGGCATTCATTTAAAACACTTCCAAGAAAAGTATTATGAACAAGCTTGAAAGGACTTCAACTGAGATGAAAACTTCCAAGAATAAGAGTAAAATGCCTTTCCTCCAACAGATAGCCACTGTTGGTTTTCAATGATTTTTTTTCTGTGTAAAAAAACATTTGAACAGTTGAGATCACACCATGTATGTGCTAGTATACATATTTTTCTCACTTAGTGTATTCTTAAGTCACTAAATTTTCATAAATATCTTCTATGGAAATAAATGAGAAAAATGTCTTTACAGCAATATTTAGAAGCAGGAACATACATTGTGTTGGAGATTCAGCTGGACAAAGCCTTGGTTCCAAAGCGAATGCCAGAGGAACTAGCCAGAAGGTATGCACAAGCAGTTTAGGTATAAAGAAGAGGAACTCAGTTTGGCCCCCAAAATGTAATTTTCTCTGGCCCTAACCACAGTTTTATGTTGTCTTTTTTCACAGGTGGAAATTTTTTGTTGTTATTATTGTTTCCTCATTGCAAAAGTTCATTTAAAACATTCTAGAAATTTGAAAACCACTTTTAACACCTTGGATTTCTGTCCTTCTGGAGTTATTTTAAAGCTTCTTTCTTACACACACTCACATCACATATACATATATGTAATTCTCAAAAACTATTTTAGTATTGTGCCATCATGCTTTGCTTGTGTGTTACTACTAAATTGTGCATTTCATCTAGGTCATCCAATTTGCTGACAGTAGTACAAAGTATTCTCTTATTCTTTTTATCTCAGTAAAATCAGCAGCAATGTTCCTCCTTCATTCCTGATTTTAGTAGTTTAAGTTGTCTTTCCTTTTTTCTCAATCTTGCTAAAGCCTTCTCAATTTTGCTGATATTTTCAATGAAACAACTTTTTTATTTCATTGATTTTTCTCTAGTTTTCTAGTATATATTTTTGTTTTGTTTTGCTTTGTTTTGTTTTGGCGGCACTGGGGTATGAACTCAGGGCCTCATGCTTGCTAGGCAGACTCTCTGACCACTTGGGCCACTCCACCAGCAAATTTGGAGTAATTTTTTGTATTAAAATTTTTTTTCTATTCCCTATTTTGTTTGTCTCCACTCTAATCTTTATTATCTTCATTCTGTTAACTTTGGGCATAGTTTGCTTTCTTTTTTCTAGTTCTTTAGCTGTACAATTAAGTTACTGGTTTGAGGGCCTCCTCCTCCTTTCTTATTTTGTTTGGGAATTAAATTTTCTCCTTCCCCTGGGTTTGCTTTTTCCAAGCCAGAATTCTGACTGTAATTTCCTTGCATGCTGGGATCTTTAATACAAAAACAAACAAAAGAAACAAAATTAAATAATCCTTTTTGACAGTCCTTAAAGATGGCTATGTACTAAAGATCTTTCTTTCTCTCTTTCTTCCCTTCCTTTCTTCTCTCTCTCTCTCTCTCTCTGTTTCTTTCGTTTCTTTTTTTGAGGTGCTGTGGTTTGAACTCAGAGCCTTGCACTTGCTAGCCAGGTCCTCTACCACTTGAGCCATACTCCAACCCTTTTTTGATTATTAGCTATTTTTTCTGACAGGGTCTTGGGTTTCTGCCCAGGGCTGACATCAGACTGTGATCCTCTTACCCACGGTCTCCGGAATAGCTGTAACCACAGGTAGTTTGTACTGCCTTGCCTGACTTGTTGGTTGAGATGGGGTTCTCACTAACTTTTTGCCTTGACTGCTCTTGAACCATGATTCTCCTGATCTCTACCTCCCAGGTAGCTGGGATTGCAGGCCTGAGCATTCTTTTAACAGTTAACCAGTCTATTAATATTTTTGTCTCAGCCCTCATTTCCTACTGATACTTTAGATCAATCAATGGTGAAAGCTTAAGGTTTTCTCAGGTCTTTTCTAAGACCTGGCCATGCTTGTGGCTTTTTAAATTCCCCCAGTATACACAACTGCTATTGAATGCTTTAATTTCCCAAAGAAATTCTCTAGTTTTTCCTCCCAGGCTTTAGGTAATCTGTTGTATGTCTCAACCCTAATCTTTTGCCCAAGCAGCTGCTCATTCTTGATCACGTTATGATGTTTTAAGCAATACTTTTCACCTCTGAGTCAGGAAAAATAGAGATGAGTGTCTTGTGTTGGCCCTTCAGGGATTCCCAGACAGGTTAGAACACGGTGACTTGGGAATGAGGTCTGCTATTCATCTTACAGAATTAGGAACCGGTGTGCCACACTAGAAACCCAGGCTTCCATCTTCAAGACTGCTGCTAAGCTGAGTACACAGTGGAACAGGAGCAGGGAAAAATGCCACAAAGTTTTTTTAGTGTTTCTAAACTACCTTTTTGTTGATTCAGCATTTGCTTGGTTGCTGTAAGTGTTTTGCTGTTTTCTAGAATTCTGACAAAGTTGATTCTGGACAATTTTTTCTTTCTTTCTCATGTTTCTATGGAGGGATGAGACATTGGAGTTACCCACACTGCCATTTTGCTGATATCTACACTTTCACCTCTTGATGTAGGGGCACCATACTCAAAGAAGGATGAAAATAAATGATGGCTGTACCTTGAAAACATGTATTATGCATATTTAACACTTTCAGCAATACCCCCAAATTACCTTCCAACTTCACAGTTCCATTCGGGATACATGAGACTCATGTTTCTTCACACATTCATCAACACAAAAATAAAATTTTTGCCAGGCATGGTGGATCATGCCTGTAATCTTATGTACTCAGGAAGATTGCAGTTCAAGGCCAGCCAGGACAAAAAGTTAGTGAGACCCCATCTCAACCAAATAAAACTGGGTGTGGTGCTGCATTCCTGTCATCCCAGCTACACAGGAAGCATAAATAGGAGAATCGCTATCTAGGCTGGCATAAATGTGAGACCGTATTTGAAAATAACTAAAGCAAAATGGGCTGGGAGCTTGGCTAAATGGTACACTAGCACACTTGAGAGCCTAGTTCAACCCTCAGAACTGCAAAATATTTTTTAGAATAATAATTATATGGATAACCCTATTAAATAAGATTAAAATTATTATTTAAGAACAGAGGTATATGATTACATAGGACCTATTAAAGAAAAATTGAATTTGTGAGTTTGACCATACACTTTAAGGTAGCCCAATGTATTTTAGCAGGAATCTGAAGCTATAAAGGAAAAGAGCTATGACTTATTCCTGCAGGGTCCTGTAAGGTCTTCTGTAAAGGAAGGTAGAAGTTTTAGCATACGTAGTTTGACGTAACAAAAATGTGTTCCATTAGTCACCTTAAGTCTGGTAGCATTATTGTAGTTTAAAGCCATCCTATACATGATGGCCAATTGTATACTTTTTCTCCTAGGTGGAGAGGAGAAAAAAGCTTTTGCTTATCTATACCATGCAGATTTCCAAATCTTTGTGCTTTGGAAACTCAACTGACTTCCCCTCATACAATGACACCCATTGCTTTCCAAAACCCTGGTCAAGTGCCATTTGTGCACTTTAAAAAAAATTAGCCAGAGGTACACTTTGGAATCTTTCTGGTAGCTGCTTCTGCTCTCCTTCCTATTGTAGCTCTGCCAGGATTCACATTTAGGGTTTTGTATGAGATACTATCACTTGAGTGCAGTAGGGAAATAGACTTCAGATCTCCATATGGACTCTTTGGAGGTGAGATATAAGAGCATGTAAATCTGCAGATAATAAACCATTCTTTGTTTTTTATATATTTTTTTCTAATACAGGGTCAAAGAAATGACTCCTCCAAGGCCCCCTCTCACCCGTCGGACAGGAGGAGCTCAGAAGGCAAGTGCCAAAGCCAGGGTGAAAATATAGGCAATAAATTGCTAAGTGCATGCCTTTGAAAATGTCACAGACTCTTCACTATCTTCCAAAATGAGTGGAAACTTGTTTGGGTCTTCACGTATCTTCATTCTTGGTTCCATTTGTGATCAGTGGCATTTGGTGAATAGCATACAATGTCAGGTCTTTGGCTGGTGATCTCTGAGTTCTGAAGAGGCAATTTATATCTAAAGTATTATTGACTATAAACCTAATTCAGTTTTCTAATCCGTAATCTCCACTCTTGGAAGTTTTTTTACCAGATCTTCTATATCTTCCTAGGCGGTGAGTGACTACCACATGCAGATCAAGAACATCTCTAGAGCCATTCTGGATGAGTACCACAAAATGTTTGGAAAACAGATGGCTAAACTGGGGAATGATATAGATACTGAAGCCCTGGAGGAGCAGAAGTGCCAGCTCAGCTACGAGCTTAATTGCTCTGGAAAGTACTTTGCTTTCAAAGAGCAACTCAAGGTAAACCATTCACTTATTTAATTATTTTCTGGTTTTTATTGAGCACCTTCTTTATAGACATACCCGTGTAACATTTTTTTCTCTGATTATATTCAGCTAAATTCTCTGATAGAATGTCAAGAACATTACTTCTATAGACTCTTGGAATAGTTTAGTTTCCATTCTGAGCATGAGTTTGTAAGAAACTAATTGTTCACTTGAAGCTAGGCTAGAACCAGAATTTCTAGGAGTTAGAAATTCTGCTACTGACTCTGTAGCTAATTCTTTCACCATTCAAATCTCTGCTTAGTCCATAAAGTTACTAAGATTTGAGAAATAAAGCCAGGCACTGGTGGCTAAGGTCTGTAATGCTAGCTGCTTGAGAGGCTGAGATCAAGAGGATTGCAGTTCAAGGCCAACCCAGGTAAACAGTTCATGAGACCCCCATCTCCTAAATAACCAGAGCAATATGGACTGAAGGTGTGGCTCAACTGGTGGTGTACCTGTTTTTGCAAGCACAAAGCCTTGAGTTCAAACCCCAGTCCCATCAAAAAAAAAAAAAAGATTTGAGAAATAGGTTCTTCCCTCCTACCCCTTGGCAGTACTGGGGCTTGAACTCAGGGCCTCATTCTTGCAGAACTCCACCACTTGAGCTCCTCCAGCAGCCCTTTTTTTTGTGTTGGATATTTTTGAAATAGGGTATTTGCCCTGCAATCTTCCTGATCTCTGCCTCCTGAATAGCTAGGATTACAGGTGTGAGCTACCAGCACCTGACTAGATTCTTAATAATAATTTCTTAAATAATAATAATGGCTAATATTTACTTTTCCTGTGTGTTTTGGGGTTTTGGTTTGGTTAGTTATTTGTTTGTTGAGACAGAGTCTCACATGTAGCCCAGGTGGGCCTTGAACTCACAATCCTCCTGCCTCTGCCTCCCAAATGATGAGATTACAAGGTGTGTGCCACCACACTCAGTTCATTTATTGAATGTTTTCTGTATGCTTCATATTTACTAATTTAATCCTCACAACAACTCTTTGAGGTAGGTATTCTTCATCTTCCCATTTTACAGATGGGAAAATGAATTATTAATTAAGTAGTTTGTCCACACAGAAATAGTAAAGATCAAAGATAGGATTCAAATTCAGGCAGTCTGGCTCTAGAACTCATATTCTTAAGTGCTATACTATGCTGCCTCTCTATGCACATTTACTATGTGCCCTGTACTACAGTACAAAGAGAGCGTGTGGATAATAAAATGAAAACAGCTGATGTTCATGGAGGCAAGAGGGTATCGCAGTAGGTGTTTGCTTCTTGGTTCGTCTTTATTAGCTGGGTGACTTAGAACACATAACTTTACCTCTCTGTGCCTCAACTTTTTGAACAATGAGGGATAGTATTAACGTTGTCACATGGGATCAGTATGAGAAATGATGTGATGCCTGGAAGGTGCTTAGTGTAGAACCTGTCAATATTAGCTTAAGGAGAAAAAAAATGAGTTTCCAGCATGCTATATTTATACACTAGTCCCCCTTATCTGTGGGGTATGTCCCAAGATCCCCCGTGTATGTCTAAAACTGTGAATAATAGCATGCCCCATAAATACTGTTTTTTCTTATGTGTACAAACCTACGATCTTTTTTTTTTTGTGGTACTGGGGTTTTGAACTCAGGGCCTTACTCTTGCTAGGCAGACATTCTACCATTTGAGCCATGCCTTTAACCCTTTTTGCTTTATCTATTTCTCCTATAGGGGCTTGATTTTATGGCTGGGGCTGGGCTAGATCTTGATCCTCCTATTTATGCCTCCCCCAGAGCTTTTATCGGTTGATATAAGAGTCTTGCTAACTTTTTGCCTGGGCTGGCCTCAAACCATGATCCCTCCAATCTCACATCCCAAGTAGATAGGATTGCAGCTGTGAGCCACTGTGCCTAGCTTGATCTTTTCACTTAAATGAAGCACTTTGTGGCTTCTTTTTGTCATATCCAAATTGTTGGCACGACTACTCTTTGCTTTGGTGCTATTATCAAGTAAAATAAGGGTTGTTGACATGAACTCGGTGAGACTGTGACAACTGATCCCATAGCAAAATGGCTACTAAGTGATTACTGGGCAAGCAGCATATCCAGTGTGGAAATGCTGAACAATGAGGGGCAGGAAGGAGCAGGGCAACATAAGATTTTTATCATGCTACTGCAAACAGTGTGCAACTTATACTTCGGAATTGTTTGTTTCTGGAATTTCCCACTTATTTTCAGACTGCAGTTTACCATGGGTAACTGAAACTGTAGATAAAGGAGTACTACTATATTTATAAAGCATTTTAAGCTCTTACTTTTGTTTCTTTGACTTCTCAATCAACTTCTAAAGTAAGATGATAATACCAGAGCTACACAACCACTTAACAAATGAGGAAACTAAGTTACCAAAGTAAAGTAATTCATGAGGTTGTACAGTGGCAGCATTCAAACCATAGTTTCATTCTTTAGACTCTCAGATCAGGGTTTCCCCTTGAGCCACATGCCAGCGTGAGAGACACGATTCGTAAACCTACTACTAAGGCTTACTTCAGCTGTACGACCCTCTTTACATGGTATGAGCCCTGCACTGCCCTTTTAATGATAATGGTCTCATCAAGAAGTCACACAGAGCATGTTGATTGGAGTATGAGAGGGCTGGAGAAACTAATCACTATGTGAAGGTCTGAGGAGCCTGAAACCAGAAACTCTAGAGAAACCTGTGTGGTCGGCACAGGACGGAATGTGTTAGTGGGAGAGTGGTGTGTGTCTTGCAGCATGCCGCGGTAAAGATTGTACGAGAGAAATACTTGAAGACAGTGTCATTTGAAAACCAGGAGGAACTGCAGACATTTATCAGTGAGCTTTATGTGTTCTTGGTGGATCAAATGCATGTGGCCTTAAACCAGGTAAGTGGTAAGACTGAAAGCCCTTTCTTTCCTCTATAGAGAAGCATGGTTTTCTTTGAAATATTCCTTCCTTCTTTGCTTCTTTTCTTTCTTTATTCAACAGGTATCTATTAAGGTATCTGCCCTGTGCTAGACACTGAAAAAGTGCAAAGATGAAATAACAGCTGGGCAGCAGTGGCTCACACCTGTAATCCTAGCTACTCAGGAGGCAGAGATTATGAGGATTGCAGTTCAAAGCCAGCTTGGGCAAATAGTTTGTGAGACCCTATCACAAAAAACCATCACAAAAAAAGGGCTGGCAGCGTAGCTCAAGGTGGGGGCCTTGAGTTCAAACCCCAGTACTGAAAAAGAAAAAAAAGATGAATAAGAAACTGCTTAAAGAGCTGGGTATGGTAGCTTATGCCTAAAATCCCAGCTATGAGGGAGGCAGAGGCAGGAGGTTCATGATCTTGGTCAGAGACTGGCCCTAGAAAAAATGCAAGAAACTACCTCCCTATCTGAAAATAACTAAAGCAATGAGAGCTGGAGGTGTGGCTCAAGTGGTAAAGTACTTATATGAATCCAAACCCCAGTACCACCCAAAAAATAAGAAAGAGCCAGGTGCCAATGACTCATGTCTGGAATACTAGCTACTCAGGAGGCAGAGATCAGGAGGATCATGGTTTGAAGCCAGCCCAGGCAAATATATATCTGTACAGCTTGCATCTTGCCTTCTCTTGCTAATTTTTGTATGTATTAGTTGTGGTTTATTTGAAAACAATAACAAAATCAAAGTCTTATTGTCCCTAGCAGTCTGACGAGCTATGCCTCCTTAAAGCTTATGTTGTATTTGCTCTTTCCTTCACGGAGGTTTTTGTTCCTACCACCTGCACCTTTTCTTTCATCTGGTTAAGACTTCCTTGAAGAGGTAAGCCAGGAATGTTCAGTATTGTAGGATTAAGAGAACAGTCCTGCCTTGGGTATGGATAATATGGATGGTTTGGTTTGAAAGGCATGGAATGAGAATTGCTGCTGCCTTCTGTCCCTGAAGGACCCTTGTCTAGTAAGGGTGATAGGCACAAAACACAAATAACTGCAATAGAGTGAAGCAACTGCTATGATAGAGACATGTCCATACGTGATCAGGTTAAGGACACCTAAAGAGAAAAGGATCTGTTTCATGCTGGGATCTTTCAGGGAAGGGTTTACAGAGGAGCTATGGTTTGAGCTGATGCTTCAAGGCTGCAAAGAAGTTCTCTAGGTGGGTGTTTCAGAGCTTTGAGTCACAGGGAACATCAAAAAGGTATAGGACCTTGGAAAAATGTATATACAGAAACTGCACAGAATTCAAGTGCAGAGGTTGAACTATTGAGTGGTGGAGAAGAAGCAGGAGATTAAGCTAGAGACCTGTTCCCCCCATTGGGGAATTTGGAAATGGAGGGAGGCCTTGTATGCCATACAAAGAAGTTTTGATTTTTTCTCTTTAACAATTGGGAGCAATAAAGTGAAGTATTTTTACATTGGAGCATACTATGATCAGATTTATATTTTATTAAAAAATATAGGAACAAAAAACTACTCTGACAGTAGTTATGGAGAATGAATTAAAGATGGTAAAACTGGTGATGTTAGCTTGTTATTGCATAATAAAAAGGAAGAGGAGACAAAGATTCTTAGATTTAACTCAGTGACTGGGGTTATTGATATTAACATTAACCAGGACAAGGAATACAGCATAAATAAATTTGGTGGACTGCAGGTAATATTGAATTCAAGTTTTGAACATCGGCCCAGAGGGGCTTTGCTTAAGAGCGAGCGCTGAGCTGAGCACTGGTGGTTCACATCTGTAATCCAAGCTACTTGGGAGGTAGAAATCAGGAGGATCATGGTTTGAGGCCAGCTCAGGCAAATAGTTTGCAAGGCTCTATCTCAGAAATGCCCAATGCAAACAAGGGCTGGTGGAGGGCTCAAGTGATAGAGCATCTGCCTAACAAGCACGAGGCCCTGAGTTCAAGCCCCAGTGCCACCAAAAAAAAAAAAAAAAAAAAGCTAAGCTAGAATTTAGATTTATGGAGCCATGATGTATGGATGCTATGATCAGAGATGAGGCTGTGTGAGAAAAACAGGAGGAAAGAGAGAGGGGTGCTGGTGGTAGGGTATAGTAAATACCAACAGTTAAGGGATGGATGCGTGAAAGACTTGACGAGGGGATGAGTGCATTAATGAGCCAGAAGACAGTGGTGTTACAGAGCCAGGGGAAAGAATTTTAAGAAAAGTGGTCCAATTTGTTAAATACTTGTAGAAATTCAAGAAAAATAAAACCTGAGAAATTTTCGTTGGATTTGACAGTTAGGAGATATTGTTAATCCCTACATAGCAATTTCATTGGGCTAAAGGAGAAGAGTCAAGTTAAAATGAATTAAGGAGTAAATGTGTGATTATACAACAGATGAATATAAATTTAAGAAGTTGGGTGATGAAGAGAAAAAAGTGAAATGTGGAAGCTAGAAATTACAGGGATTTTCTTTTTAAGATGGAATAACATTGAGCAGTCCACAGATTTGGGAATTGGAGTCAACACAGTAGAAGTTGAAAATTGAGGAACAAAAGGAGATTATTGATGGCAAGCTCAGGATATACACCTGGGAAAGAACTAAGCGTTTAAGTGGGAGAATTGGCCTTGAAATGGAAACGGCTGGGATGCTTTCTCCTCTGAGTTTGAAAGGAAAGAGATACAAGAGACACAGAAATAAAGATCTTAGGTGTGGGGTTAAAAACTTGAGGGCTTCTTGCCTAAGAATTTCTGTTACCTCTGTGAAGTAAGTAAGTAAGGTCTCTATTAAAAGCAATGGGGATAAGTGTTGAATGAAAAATTTTAAGAGAAATTTATATTCTACATAGCATTGTGGGATGTGGTGCTAAATGAGGACGATTACAAAGATGACAGAGTCTTAAAGATCTTAATAAAGATCTTAACTAATACTGAACGTCACAACAGTCGGGAAGGGCTCAGACATCTCTATGTAGTTTTTCTTGGAACCACTTACCTGTACCTGTCCCAGAATGAAGACATCAGTGTATAGGACTGTTTTAATTTGTGAGTTTTCAGGCCAAGTGCAGGAAAAGGACAAGGATGCCTGAGACTTGAGTGTGCTGGTGAGATAGTAGTATGGGGGAAGTAATGAGGTCCTGGCTGATCCATTTGGGAAGTGATAGGCTTATTGGAAGTAAAAGAAATGCAGTCAGAGAGCTATTTTAAGCAGATGAAATGAAAAAAGGTAGAAGGTTTGGAATGTGGGATCTGGGAGTGTGATATTAGGAGTATTTTTGGTTTAAGGTAGAAGTGTGTTGCTATAGGATTTGAAGGTCAAAATCATTAATACTAAAAAAACCAAAGACCAGACAAATTGATCAGTGATCAAAAGCTCTCTTTGGCTCATCTCAAAATTGGCTTTATGCTCCACATTCCTTAGCAACTGTACTTGTTAAAGTCCCTGATAACATTTTTACTGGTTCTTTGTTTTGTTTTGTTTTTTGATGGGACTGAAGTTTGAATTCAGAGCTTGTAAAGCCATACCTCCAGTCTTCATTTTTACTTTTAATTAAAGAATTTTCGAGGTCTTCCTCAGCAATAGCTTCTCACCCAGGATATTACTAATTATACCAGACCTGTTCTCCAATGTAGGTATATAGAATATATTCTTTTTCTGGTTTTCCTCCTACCTGTCTGGCTGTTTCTAAAATGTCTCCTTTGTAGGATCTATCAATCATTCTACCCATTAAAGTTATAGATCTGGCTCAAGGTTTTACCCTTAATTTCCTGTTTGTGCCATATTTCAAGTCCTTAGCTGGTGCTTGTCAGCCTTTTTCATGTCATGGCACCCAAAAAAATATTTGTCCTATACACTAGAGAAAACGAGGTAAGCTGAGGCCAGAGGCAAGCTGCCTTAAGAGTTGTTTCTGCCTTGAGTTTTACTATTGGTATTCGGATACCTGAGTTTCTGTTTCAGCCTTGGTATTTGTCTCTTGGTTGCGTCTTATTCTCTCCCTACGTTGGCAAGTTTGTAAGAAACCTCAGTCTCATTTTAAACATTACGACTGGATGTCACATCCACTTTATGCCCATAAACTGCTCTACTTGTAATTGCTTCATTGTTTGCTTAACATCTTCATTGGTGACAAGACCATGCCAGATGACGTCCAAGAGACTGTCTCAACCATTCCCACGAGCAGTGAACAGCTCCGACTCTTTGCATTTGAAGCAGAAGTCAACGAGGACTTTGAAATGGCAGCAGTGTATTATGAAGAGGTAATTAAACATCTTCCCAGTGATTGTTGTTATTATTTGTGGATATGGGTGTAAGAAGTAGTTCCGTGTAGTGCCGGCCCCCTCGCTCTAGCAGTGAACAGCTGCAGCCGGGGCTCCGCGCTACCCGACGGCCGTGGGCGGCGAGGTGACCGTGCGCGTGCGTGTGCGCGATCCAAGGCACGTGATCCCGAGGGGTGCGGCTTAGCCCGCAGGAACCGCGCTGGGGAGCTGCTCCAAGTCCCCGACGATCTGTGGACCTCAAGTTCACCTAGAACAGGGGGAGGGAGCGGGAGGAGCTGGGCAAAGAGCATCGTGCTGGCCGCCAAAAGGAAGGCAGCGGCCAAGAGGGACAGGCCTCCCCACCCGTCCCCAGAATAAAAGTCTGCGTTAACAGGGGAAAAAAAAAATCACACTTGAGAAGTCTTCACTCCCATTCCCTGCTTGGGGAACAGGAACCGTTTCTCACTTTTTTTCCTGATTTTGTTTTGTTTTATTTTTTTGGTGGTACTGGGGTTTGAACTCAGGGCCTTACGGTTGCTAGGCAGGCACTCTACCACTTGAGCCACTCCACCAGTTCTCACTTTTTTTCCTTCTCCCTACTTTGCCCTGTTATACGAAAATAAATTCTTGGCTTAAAAAAAAAATATCAGCCTGTCAACGGGTGGCTCATGTCTGTAATCCTAACTGGAGAGGCTGAGATTGGGAGGATCACGGTTTGAGGCTAGTCCCAGGCAAATAGTTTGCAAGATCCCATTTCCAAAATAACCAGAGCAAATGGGCTGGAGGAGTGGCTCAAGTGGTAGAGCGCCTGCTTTGCAAGTGTGAAGCTCTGAGTTTACTACCAAAAAAAAAAAAAAAAAAAAATCAAACTTGATTGGGAAAAGACATTATAGACAGTCAAAAATAGGCACAAATGAATAAAGTCATTTGACTTTTGATGGAGTTATAAAAAGGTCAGTGAAAAAAAAGAACAGTTTTCAACAAATAGTGTTAGAACAATTGGTCATCCATATGCAAAATAAAAGAACTTTGGTCTGTCCTTCAACATTTTACAAAAATCCAAATGGAGAATAAATATAAATAGAAAACATAAAGCTGTATAACGTTTACAAGAAATGTAGGGGAAAATCTTTTTGACCTGGAGTTAAGTAAAGAGGTGGCTCACTCCTGTAATCTTAGCTACTCAGGAGGCAGCAATCAGGAGGATCACAGTTTGAAGCCAGGCTGGGCAAATAGTTCTCAAGACCCCTATCTCAAAAAAACCCATCACACAAAAAGGGCTGGCAGCATGGCTCAAGTGGGAGAGCACCTGCCTAAAAAGCGTGAGGCCCTGAGTTCAAACCCCAGTACCACAAAAAAAAAAAAATTGTGCTTGGACATGAGACCTAAGCATAACTATAGTTATCAAGGAAAAATGTGACAAATGGAACTTCATCAAAATTAAAAGCCTTTGGGCTGGAGGTGTGGCTCAAGTAGTAGATGCCTGCCTCCTAAGCCTGCAGCTCTAAGTTCAAGCCCCAGTACTGCCAAAATAAATAAATAATTGATTAAAACCCTTTATTCTATGAAAAAGAAAAAGCAAAAACTACAGATTAGGATAAAATATTTGTAGAACATATATGTGACAAAGGATTTGTATCTAGAATATAAAGAGCTCTCAAAACTCAACATTTATGTATAAGCATTTGTTTGAGTTCCTGTTTTTAATTATTGTGAATATATACTTAAAAATAAAATTGCTAGTACATATGGTAATCCTTTGTTTAACATTTCAAGGATTTTGATTGAGCTATTAATGGGATTACACTGTATCTGTAGATTGCTTATTGTAGTATTAAAATTTTAACAATCCTAAATCTTCCAATCCAGTGTCTTTCCATTTATTGTGTTCTTTAATCTCTTTAAGCAATATTTGTAGTTTTCACTCATTTTTATTAGGCATCTTTAAATTTTTTTTTTGTAGGACTGGGACTTGAACTCAGGCCTTCATGCTTGCAAAGGAGGCACTGTACTGCTTGAGCCACACCTCCAGTCCATTTTGCTCTGGTTATTTTGAAGATGGGGTTTTGCAAACTGTTTGCCTGGGATGGCCTCAAACCATGGTCCTCCTGATTTTGGCCTCCCAAATAGCTAGGATTATAGGCATGAGCCACCAGTGACTGGCTTTCTCGGAATTATGGATAAGCCTATATTTGCCATCTCAGGATTATGGCACAAATTATTATACATGGTTGATATACAATCAGGTGAAACTTTAGGCTCTCAGAGTATTAGATGAGTTTAGATTGAGCAGACACTGGAAAGAAATGGCTTGAGGATTCGATTTTATTTTTTGTATAAGACAGAACAGTAAGTATGCTTGGCATTTTGGGATTCCATGGTAAGCAAAAAAGAACTGCTTTCATAAAACTTATGTATTTATGGAGTGCTTTCTGTGTGTTTACTGTGTAAAAAGTAGGTCATAGTAACACAGTAATTTTGGCTTTCCTGATGTTTTGTGTGCCTAGAGGTTGGTCCGGGAGCCCCAGAACCTGGATTACTGGCTGGATTATGGTGCCTTCTGCCTTCTAATTGAAGACAACATGAAAGCACAAGAGTGTTTTCGGAAAGCCCTTTCCCTGAATGAGAGTCATATCCACAGGTAGAGGTGGAAGGGAGATGCAAAATAAGTAGGAACAGATAAGCTTCCACATGAAATTGTCTCAGTTCGTTCATGTGACATGGGACCATGCTGTTATCATGTTAGTGATCTCTTCTCAGCTTGCTGCTGTGTGGTGTCCTGGCTGTCTTAATGGAGAACTATGAGCAAGCAGAAATTTTCTTTGAGGATGCCACTTGCTTGGAACCAACAAATGTTGTAGCCTGGACTTTACTTGGTATGTTATTTTCCTGTGATATAAACGTGAATGTGGTTTTTCTTTTTTTTTAATGTGGTAGTGGGGCTTGAACTCAGGGCCTCATGCTTGCTAGGCAGCTGCTCCACAACTTGAGCCACCCAGCCAGCCCATGGTTTTTCCTATTAAAAGATTCTCTCTTTCCCTTTCTATTCTTTTTCTTTGGTGTTAAAGGGGGTTGAACTCAGGGCCTTGTGCTAGCTACGCAGGTATGCTACCACTTGAGCGACACCTACAACCCTTTTGTGTTGGTTCTTTTTGAGACAGGGTCTCGCTTTATGCTGAGGCCAGCCTTGACCAGGATCCTTCTATTTGTGTTCCCTGTAGCTGGGGATGACAGTTGAACACCATGACGCCCAGCCATTGGTTGAGATGGGGACTTGTGAACTTCTATTCTGTTTCCCAGGGAGTTAGCATTATAGGCTTGAGCGACCATTCTGTCTTCTTTCTACTCTGAATTGGCTCATCATGTAATTCTTAAACTTTCGCAAATATATGGGAAAGATAGGCAAAATACTGCAGAATATTTCAGGTTTCATTATATGGTGGTGGGAAATTGTCATTTTTATTTCAAATCTGTATTTCCTCAGGTTTGTACTATGAAATTCAAAACAATGATATTCGAATGGAAATGGCATTTCATGAGGCCTTCAAACAGCTTCAGGCACAAATGCTGCAAGCCCCAGTAGCAAAGGAAAAGAGTACTGGAGGGTACATGGAAGAAGGAAGGAAAATGGAATCCAGTTTAGGCCCTTGGGGAACCACAAATGATTTTTCCACAATAGCAATCAAGGCAGAAGCCCCAGCAGGTAGGAGCCAGGAATGGAATGTTGAGTGACTACTGAGAAACTTACTGGCCTTATGAAATAAATTTGTTAAATGAATGAGTACTAGAGGTCTTAGTTGTTTTAGGATATCAGGAAAGACTCCTTCTAAATATTTCTTCATTCATATGATTAGTGGTTTGAATCTTCTATTGAGATTGCTTTTTTGACTCTTACAGAATTTACTGTCTTCATAAATATTCCTACAAAAAAAAAGGTGCCATAGAGTAAATTTTTTTCGATTCCCTTTTGTTCCCTTCCTACCATGTAAGGTTCCTGTCTTGTGAATCCTAAATGTATTTGTTTGTGTAACACCATCACACACACCCCATTCTTCATTGCCATTCTACTGCATTTAGTTTGTACATTTTTACTTGTGTGTTTCTTGCATTATTTTGTGTGCATATTTTCTAAGTTTGAGGTATAATTGACATTTCATAAACTTTACACATTTAAATATTCAATTCGATAAGGATTGTTGCATGTACACGCCTATGAAAACATTACAATCAAGATAATGAATACATCTTCATATCCAGTTGTGATCTCATTCACCCACCCAAATTTCCAGAAACCACAGATGTGCTTTCTGTCACTGTAGATGAATTTGCATTTTGTAGAGTTTTAGAATACTAGGAAAACTCTAGGGCTGGAGGTGTGGCTAAAGTGGCAGAGTGCCTGTCTCAAAAGTGCGAAGCCCTGAGTTTAAACCCTAGCACTGCCAAAACCAAATCAAAACAAAAACTCTAGAAAAACTCTAGAAACTCGAGAACCTCTAGAATTAAACAGAATTATACAGTATGTACTCTTTTTTTGTCTTGATTTTTTGTTTTAACTGAGGATATAGAGATGGCATAATTTGTTTATCTGTTGGTAGATACTTGGATTATTTCCATTTTGGGATTATTGAAATAAGGCTACGATGGACATTTATCTACAAGTTTTTGTAGTTAAATAATAATATAATAGATAAGATATATGCTTTCATTTTTCTCTCTACTGGGGATTGAGCCCAGGTCCTGGCTCATGCTATCTTGCTAGTTGATCACTTTTTCACTTGAGCCACACCCCTACCCCTTCAGTTTGTATTTTGTTCTTGAGATAAGGTCTTGCAAATTTTGCCTGAGCTGGCCTGGAATTCGTGATTCTCCTTCCTCCAGTTCTCAAATAAGATGGGATTACAAGTATGCACCACCACATATGGTTTATGCTTTCCTTTCTCTTGAATAAATTGCTAGGAATTGGATGACTGGGACCATGGATTATTTAGCAATATTTTGTTTGTTGTTGTTGTTTTTGCAGTAGTGGGGTTTGAACTCAGGGTTTCATGCTTGCTAGGTAGCTTTGCTGTCACTTGAGCCACACCTCCAGCATGATGTGGTTTTTACTTTCTAAATATTCGAGGATTTTTCCAGATATTTTTGTTTTTTATTCTAATTTAATCTCATTGTGGTTAGAAAATATATTTTGTATAATTTGAATTATTTTAAAATTATTGAAACTTGTTTTGTGGCCCAGTATGAAGTCTATGGTGGTAAATATTCTATCTACACTTGAATATGTATTCTCTTTTGAATAGAATGGTCTACAGATGTCAGTTAGGTCTAATTAGCCAATTGTGCTGTTCAATCTTTATCCTTTGTAATTTTGTACTTGTGAAGTTTTTGCAAGTCTGAGCACTGAGGCTTTAAGAAAGCTAAAGAGAGAACATGGGATAGTGCAAGTCTGGGAGCAAAGACTTTAAGAAAGATTATGCTAAAGAACAGCTAAGAGAAAACATGGGACAGAGCAAATCTAAGGAAAGAGACTTTAAAGAACAGAAAAGAAGACTTTAAAAGCAAGGTTTTAAGGAAAGACTTTAGAAGCAAGGTTTTAAAGAATTGTAAAGGAGTAAGGCCTTCAAGAATAAAGACAGAGAAAAGAAGCGGAGTAAATTAAGAGAATAATAGAAAAAAGAAGCAATGAGGCTGCTGTGCATCTCCACCCCAGCGTCCAACATAACTGGCCCAAATTTTCTGTCTATCTATCCAGTGTCCTTTCTGCATCTCCTGTGGCCACCCAGTTTGCCCCCGTTAGGTTCAGTAGTAACAAGGCAGTGAGAGAAAAAGCTCGCTTCAGGTATTGTGGCTCAAGCAGTAAGAGTGCCTGCCTGGCAAACATGAGGCCCTGAGTTCAAACCCCATCACCACAAAAAACAAACAAACAAACAATCAAGCTGGATGCCAGGTGGCTCATGCCAACAGTCTTAGCTACTTAGGAGGCTGAGATTGGGAGGATCTAGGTTTGAGGCCAACCTGGGCAAATACTTCAAGAGACCCCATCTACAAAATAACCACAGCAAAATGGACTGAAGGTGTGGCTCAAGTGGTATAGCACCTGCTTTGCAAGCACAAAGCCCTGAGTTTATAAAAAAAAAAAACAAAACTCAGTCCCACCAAAAAAAACCCCAAAATACCAAAAAAAAAATCCAAACACATAAACTATAATACTATAATTATAATATTATAATTTATTTAGATAAACCTAAATGGATTGCTAAAAAATGTTTGCATAATCCATAGGAAGGCAGAAAAAAGGAAAGAGTAGAATAAAAAGTAGAGGACAAACAGAAAACAAATAATAAATTGAGTAACTTAAATCCTAACATCTCCATAATTGCTATGGTATCTTCAATGATGTCCTTGTCCTAATCCCTGGGATCTGTGACTGTTACCTTATATGGCAAAAGAGACTTTGCAAGTGTGATTTAAGTTAAGTGTCTTGATACGGGAAGATTATTTTGGATTATCTGGGTTAGCCCACTTCTTGTGTCTGCCTCATTTGAGGGCATGCCTCCTTCTAGGACATGCTCCCTTAGCACAATACCTGGCCTGTAGACATGTTCAAGTATAGCTACTTGTACATTTACTGTTATTTGTAAATATATACTGAAACAAGATGAATAGAATTCCTGTCCTTTTTGTAGCTTTAATGTTATCTAAAAATGTTTTCATCTTCTCATCTGGATTCTTGAGATTCTGGATTTAAACATGGAACTTTTTTATTAGCAATAATCGCACCTTGGATAAACCTCATACTACCACTGCACAAAGCTTAAACATGGAACTTTTATAACAGCAATCTGTTTGACATTATCATGACTTGAAGTAGCAGCAAGGTTGTATTTGGTGGGGAGATCACAGTGACAGAAGTTGTGTTGTCAGTTTAGTTTGTACTTTTTAAATTACTCGGCAATGTAAACAAGTCTCCCAAACAAGCCTGTTCTTTCATACAACATATTTAGGAATTATGCTTCTTAGCTTCACACATTTTTCTCCTATAATGTTCTTTTAATAACCAAGGTAGGACATTTTTTTCATCACAATTTAATCTATTTAGGACCAGGAGCTGCGTTATCCATTCTAGATGAATTTCTTGAAGACTCTTCTAAGCTGCAGTCTGAATCACGAGAGCCCCTAATAGTTACACAATCTCAGGATCCAGTTACTGGCCAAAGAACATCTAACATATTTTTAAAGGAGATACAGGAAAAAAAAGGTAATAGGAATAAAGATTTCCATTTCAAAAAGGCACATAAACAAACTAGATAAGGATTAAAAACTCTGGATATAGAAGTGGCAATCCTGACTTGTTTGAAATTATGTTGCCTACATTCCTCCAGAGTCGTCTAGGCTCTGAAATCCACACTCAGTGGTCTAACTCCTGCGATAAGCAAGGGGTTTATGTTTAGCTCTCAGAGATAGCTAACAAAAGACCTAAGATTTTCCAATAAGTCTTCATTGTTAGGATATCTATAAATTAGGTATATGAAATATATATACATTTAGAATATCAATAAATTAGAATATATATTCTAATAGGTATATTCAGGTCAGAATCCTTTTTTTTTTTTTAACAAAAACCCTTTCATTTGGTTGTGACTTGCCTCGTTGCTTTGATTGTACTTGGAACCATCAGTACATTTTCCTTGAGAACCTATGAGTTCTCTTTGGGTTCCATTACTAGAAGTAGTCTATTGCTTGCTTTACAGAGCATGGTTTTTCTCATGTATTAGATCAGAATACTCTCAATACCACATTAGTGTGTCTGAGCTTCTGATATTGTTTCCTTTGTATCTTGATCTTCTATCCCTTTAATATAATATTTTCAGAAACATCAAAATGTCAAGATTCACCAGCTTTTCCGCCTCCTACCCCTTATCATGGTGCTTCCCAAATTTCTACCACAATCTTCATGGAGACCATACGCTTCTTGATGAAAGTCAATGCTGTGCAGGTCAGGATATTTGGGAGAGGGCAAGTAGATGGAAAGACTTTAGTGAACTACTCATTCTATACATGGTTGTATCTTTGCAAGCTAAAACTCATGTGAAACATAACTCAAATATATGGGTGTATGCCCATGTGCACTGGGGATTGAACTGAGGGCCTCATGTATGCTTATCTCTATCTGATCTGTAACCCCATCCTTCAAATATACTTTTAAGATCATACCTTCAAGCTAATGCAGAGAACATACAAACATGAACCACTCTCTGCAGAAGTAGACCTTACTGCAGATGTGCTCCCTGTAGAATACCAGCACAGAAAAGTCAAACTCAAAGACATGTGCAGCCCAATCTCACTTTCTTATGGGAACTTATGTCAATGTTGGGGGTTCACAGGAATCTAATCATACCCTTCTTCCTTTCCAGATCCTGACCTGTGAAAGCATACACAGTACCCTGGGGGGGGGTGTTAAAATATTAAATTATTTTGTTGGTAAAACTCGGCTAAAGAATGTGACTGATCCCACATTTACCTTACCCATGCAGTCACAGGTAAAACAGTTGGAGAATTGCAGCCTCCTAGCAGGGAAGAAGCTCACCCTATGAGGTCTGCCTACCATAGGAAACAAGAAGCACCTTCATGAGCAGGCAGTAGGAAGAGAGAGCAAGATCCAGGAGCCAAGAGAGTTGGCTCTGATCCTGCAGAGCTCATACCCCACTGAGAGCAGGCAAGCTCAAGAAAGGACAAGAGTTACAAAGTGGGTGGGATTGGACCACATTAGATGGGAGACTTTAGAATATTAATCAACCTTTTCCATTAGAAACAGTCTTTCTCCCTACCTCAGTTATTTTCCACTCCCCGACCCCAGGTCAGAGAGCCAGAAGGCAGGTAGAGAGATCAACTTCAGTCCCTCCTCTGCCCCCAGTATTTTCCTAAGAGGGTGTAAGTATTAGTGGAAGATTCTGCATTATAGACTGAGATGAGGACAGAGAATAAAAGAAAAGTTTCCCTTCTGCTTAGCAAGTACATATGACTTCACATTTGCAGACCTTTTAAAGTATAAAAAGCAAAGAATAGTCCCAGATACAAAACTGGTAAATATAAATGTTTGTTGATATGGCAGAAATAGATATTTATGTTCCCAAGATCCTAAGTCTAGCATTTTGGAGAGGCAGGTTTTACCTCACTGTGAATTTCCTTATAATGACAGTCATCTGAAAGTGTCACCTCATGTGTAAATAGGGTGGCTGATGAAGTGCCTTTGTCTGCTGCATAATAAGTTCAGTTCAAGATACATTATGATGACCAACAAGAACAGAATTGTGCAGTACTGCTTGTTATTCATTTGGAAATGTCTACATTAGGTGACTGAATATCTGGTAATGGACATGAAGAACTGAATGCTTGTAATTTACCCCTCTTAATCTTTTGAAGTTGAAGATAATCATTTCATTTTATAATTATATTACTTATTGGGGCGAGACTCCTTCAACCACAAAAACTATGGTATTAACATAATGCAGCCATTTATGTGTTCTTTAAACTGTGATTTCCTTGCAGTATGTGCACAGAGTGCTTGCACATGAGCTGTTATGCCCTCAAGGAGGCCCCAGCTGTGAGTATTTCTTGGTGCTGGCCCAGACACACCTTCTCAAGAAAGATTTTGTCAAGACAGAGGAATACATTCAACAAGCAGCCCAGATGGACTATCTGGTAATAACTTTTGCTAGGGCCTCTTGGTTGGTAGAAAGGATGAACAGACATTAAAAGTAGTGATGCCAGCAAATGATAGTGTGTACCTGCAGTCCTATCACTGGGACTGGGTCACTGGGATTCTGAAGAGGTACCCTTTTAAAGACAGGGACCTTCCACTCAAGTTTTTATGCAGGTCCTTTACTTAAATCACTGGTAAGAATTTCTAAATAAGTCATGTGATGAGGTAAAGAACCGACAGAGTTTATTAGTAAATCAAAGCAAAGCACTTATTGGTGTGGTTACGTCTAATAAGAGGCACTGAGTACTCTAACAGCAGGGATATTTATGGTAAAAAAGTGGGTTGGGATTTGACTTAAACTGACCTTAGGATAAGTGCTGCCCTTTGTTCTGGACATTGGTACACTTCAATCATTCTTATTGTTACATTGTCTTGACATTATAATTGGGCCTAAAGATAATTTGATTGGTTTACTAAATTTGATCTTTACTAGATAAAGTAGGTTAGGAGAGTTTTGCTTCAACTTTCCTCCAGATAAGTGTGTTCTTCATGTTAGACACCTGGTAACAATCAATTTGCTGTTGCAAAGTTTGGAGGTTGTCATTCAGAGTGGAGACATTGGGTCCCAGATAATCTTCTAATTAAAGGACATGGTTGCCTGCTTCTTGAAACTTTTATGGGCAATCTTTTGATCAAAAGATTTACTGAACTTGGCCTATTTGTTTTTGGTGGTAGTGGGGAATTGAACTCAGGGCTTGATGCTTGCTAGGCAAATACTCTACCACTTGAGCCATCCCCCAGTCCTTTTGCTTTTAGTTTGTTTTTCATATAGGATCTCATTAATTTTGCCCAGGCTGGCCTCAGAACATGATTCTTCTATCTCCATTTCCCAAGTAGCTGGGTTTATAGTCATGTACCATGACACTCAGTGTGTAACAGGCAATTTTAAGTTCAGAGCATATTAGAAAGTTTTGACTATTTCTATCATATATTAATTAGGAAAATTGGAGTGCTGAGAAAAGTAATGTGTGTGCTTTTTTATTTACTGAAGTATTTAATATTGCAGTCCTATCAACCCTCCTTTAATTGCATCTTACATTTTTGTAACTGATAAGTTTGGGATTCCAGAGACCAAGTCTCCTTAATTGACACAAGTGATATAAGATTAAAAATCTGCTAGGTGTCTTCTTTGAGGAGACATTTGCTCAGGGCAGAAAAGCCCATATTTAAGAGGTATTTGTTTTTCTTTAACAAGGTTTCCATTTAGTCCAAGGATGAGTTTTGCCAGGTGTTTTTCTTAAGATATTGACCCAGAACGTGCTTCTGCAGAACTCTGGGCAAATCATTAGTGCAAAGTTAAAAGCATGGTTAGCTGCTATATTCTAATGTGGAGTGGGAAACTTTAAGTTACATATTAATACAGTGCTTATTCTTAGTTCCTGGCTCTTGGTTCCCATGCCTTAATGTCCTTGATCTCTCCCACCTTAGTCCCTAGAACCCAGGAGTTCAAGGCCAGCATAGGCAGCATAGTAAGACCCTGTCACAAAAAATGAAACAAACAAAATAAAACAAAACAAAACAAAACCAGGCACCAGTGGCTCATGCCTGAAATCCTAGCTACTTAGGAGGCAGAGATCAGGAGGATCACAGTTCAAAGCAAGCCCCAGGTAAATAGCTCCCAAGACCCTATCTTGAAAAAAAATCCACAAAAAAGGGCTGGTGGAGTGGCTCAAACACTAAGCTGCCTGCTCAGCAAGTGTGTGAGGACCTGAGTTCAAACTCCAGTGCCACTAAAAAGGGAAAATAAGAAAAAAACAGTGTTGCCATATCACAGGTACGTTTCTGGTGATCAGGGGTGGGGGTCATTACCTGTTAGTAAACACATCTTTCTCTACCCTTATATTTGTTTTTCTTAAGTAGTCATGTGTTTTACAAAGAGTAGAGAAAATGATAAAGATAGCTTTTTAGTAGAAAGTGTTTATCTACTTCAAGTTTTCTGGACTTCTCTTTTCTCCTTATGAATACTATATTGGTTATACTTGAATGTTTTTCTTAATATTTACCCCAAAGAGAAAATGTCTTTGAAGAATACAAGAAAGAAATGAGAGGACAGACCTAGAAAAATACCTCTCAGTACAATTAAATGGCTCTCTTTCTAACTGGGTACTCTTAGAAAAAGGAAATAAACTTACTAAGTCAAGTGTTGATCAAAGCTTATTTTTAAAGGTACTTTAAAATCCCACTTCATCCATGTATTACTTGTTGTTTACTTTCTTAGAATCCCAATGTCTGGGGAGTGAAGGGCCATCTCTATTTTCTGAGTGGGAATCATGCTAAGGCCAAAGCGTGCTATGAGCGAACCATTAGTTTTGTAGTGGATGCTTCTGAGATGCACTTCATCTTCCTGAGACTGGGGCTCATCTATCTGGAAGAGAAAGAGGTAAGGGATAGAATAGTAACCACATAAATCAGGCCACAACCTTGGACCTTGTAATAGTGCAAGCATTTATATTCATCCTAAAAATGGTAATATGATAATGATACCTTTACATTCAAAGGTAGAGCAACTTGCCCAACATCAGGTAACAAGGAATTAGTGGGAGCAGGAATTCTAAAACCAGAATCTGTGGTTTTAACAATTCTGCTACTAAAAAAGTTATTAAAAACTATATAAATGTTATTTTACTACACTTTTATTACCCATAATGGAAACTTTATTTGCAGTAGTTAAAAACATTTTTAGATGGATTTAATAGAAACTGTCATGGGCCTCAAAAGGACTTCTCCAAACTTCCCTCTCAATCCAGAAAGTTTTATTTAATTTAGCTGAGGGTAACCCAATTACACAGGTCACTCTGACCTGACGGTTAGCAGTCCCTCACTGTATTTTAGGAAATACTCCCAAGGTTTTTGAAAAAAACAAAAGCCTTTTATGAAAAATTCTAGATATATACAAAGTAAACAGAACAGCAGAATGAACCATCATGACCCATCACCCCACTATAATTGTTGTCAGCTTTCTGCTGAAGGCCTCTGACTCCCTGCTTTTTTTTCTTAGACTTCATTCCATTTCTCCTTCCCAGAGAACTCAGTTCTCTATTTTTATTTAACATAAAATAACAACAGAAACAAGGATTTGTTAGACATTTACAATCCGTATAATGAAAATAGAGGCTCAGAATGACTTAAGCGAAATCACTGTCATCCTGCAGTGAAGTAAATAAGGAAAGGTTTTCTTTGTGATGTCACTGCAAGTTGTGTCTTGCCTCACCTACACTAGGCAAGCAGTTCTTAAGCTGTTTGCTGAGGATCAACTATAGATTTTTTTTTCTTTTTGGTGGCACTAGGGTTTAAATTCAGGGCTTGTTCTACTGCAGGCCTATACCCCTAGCCCCTTCTCTTACATCTGAGATACAAGACAAGAAAAGCACTTGAGGGTTACTTCTTTTGAAAGTTTTTTTTTTTGGGGGTATTGCTGGGTGTGAGAGCCTACACCTGTCTAACTAGCACTCTGGAGAATGAAGTAGAAGGATAGCTTGAGTCCAGGAGTTTGAGGCCAGCCTGGGCATCATAGGAGACCCTTTCACAAAACAAATAAGCCAGGCATGGTATACACCTGTAATCTCACTTACTTGGGAGATGGACGCAGGATCTTGAATTTGAGACCAGAGGCAAAGGTAGTGATGACCTACCTCAAAAATAAAAAACAAAAGGACTGGGAGCATAGCTCAATAGTAGAGCACTTGTGTAGCACACAAGCCTAACCTCAAAAATAAAAAACAAAAGGACTGGGAGCATAGCTCAATAGTAGAGCACTTGTGTAGCACACAAGGCCCTGAGTTCAATCCCCAGTACCACAAAAAAAAAAAAAAAACAAAGACAACAGTAAAAAAAAAAAGAGTGCCTTGCTATGTGGTCATTATGTTCTTGAACTCCTGGGCTCAAATGTTCCTCCTACCTCAGCTCTATGTAGTTGAAAAGTTGGAACTGCATGTACCACACCTGGCTGAAAGCTTGTTTTCTGATTTTTTAAATGTCTTTGTAGAGCCTTTAAAACTTCTTATGATATGGGAACAGATCCTCAGAATGATGAGGCTTTGTCAGGTATACCTCTTATTCCAGGATTCAGGGTCTGTTATCTCACCACTCAATGTCACTTTTAAGTGAAAGAGGTAAAGTCTAGGTGCATTTCAGATAATCACTGTGGTTGCTCAGAATTTTCAATGTATCTCCTTGTCTCAACTCTTACAGACTGTAAATAGTCTTTTGTACCCATGCACACAAGTGACCATGATTCTTTGGTCTTCTGAGCACACTTAGGGTTAATGAGGATGGTGGGATAGCAATCAGGGAAGTCTACTCTAATGAAAAGTTTCCCTTTAAAGCTGTTCATGAGCTGAAGCTCAATCTGAACTAGAAAAATATTCTTAAAACATCCTACAAAAACCTGAACCAGGAAGCTATATAAAAAAAATTTCATGTTATTTGTTTAGATACACTTTTGTGATGTTATCTATAAGAAAAAGATGATATGAGAGGTAAGAGTTATCTATATTCCTTGTCTCTTCTTCATTGCTGATTTTTTAAACCTTAAAGATAATACATATTCATTATAGATAACTTCAAAGATAGAAAACATGAGTATCCATAATCCTACCACTCAGTAATAACCACTGTTAATATTTGAGTGTACTTTCCTTCACTCTTTTTTACAGACATAAATGAAAACATTTTTCTTAAAGAGAAGGATCTATGTTGCCCAGCCTGGTTCCAAATTTCTGGGCTCAAGTGATCCTCCTGCCTCATCTCCTGAGTAGCTGGGACTATGGGCACATACCAGCTGCACTCAGCTATTTAATTTTAATGTATAAAATATGAGCATTTACTGCTTTGTAATTATTTTTCTACTTAATAGAGAATCAGTTTCTTCTCACTTCACCAAATCATTAAAACATAAGCGTTTGACTGCTTGGTGTCTCTGGCATGGATATATAAGTAGGATGACAATGTAATTTATTATAAAAACCTGGATGTTACACTGAAAAAAAGGCAGGGAAAGAGAGGCAGAAGATGGCTTCACATCAGCACAAGTTTTATTCAGGAGAAGGAACCTGTGGAAGTGGTCTCCAGCAGACACAAGAGACCATACCACTTAAGACCGTGGGCAGATACAGATGGAGAAGTACCAGGAAGATCGCTAGGTGGGAAAATTCTTTTGTGACTAGCTAAGGGAGATAAGTGGTGGTGAAGTTTTGTTGTTTCTTTGAGATGGGTGAGGAGTTTCTAGTAAATGGCTACGAGCAAAAAGGCAGGGAAAGAGAGGCAGAAGATGGCTTCACATCAGCACAAGTTTTATTCAGGAGAAGGAACCTGTGGAAGTGGTCTCCAGCAGACACAAGAGACCACTACCACTTACAGACCGGGGGCAGATACAGATGGAGAAGTACCAGGAAGATCGCTAGGTGGGAAAATTCTTTTGTGACTAGCTAAGGGAGATAAGTGGTGGTGAAGTTTTGTTGTTCTTTGGAGATGGGTGAGGAGTTTCTAGTAAATGGCTACGAGCAGATGTTTGTTATTCTTTGGAGCCGGGTGGGGAATTTCTAGTAAGTCATCTGAGAGAGGGAGAAGGTCTGGTCCTAATGTGGCTGCCCTTATTTCACCCTAACACTGGACACTTCTAAGAGTGAAAGGAGTATTATTATAATTACACTATGTAAGTCATGCGCACCTGTTACTGGAGGGTGGTCTAAAGGGACTCTGAGAGCTCAGGTCCTTATATCTCTTGAACAAAGAACTAGACAGAGACACAGATTGCAAAGCAGTAATAGAGTTTTATTAACCAGAAAAGGAAAGTAAAGCACCGCAAAAGAACGAATGCTGGGCTCTGGACAGATAGCAGAAATCTTTGTTCAAAGGGCAATTTATAAGTTGTAAGGGCAAATGGTGGAAGACACCAGTGCCCAGACCGCTTGGGAAGATGCAGACCACAGGGTGAGCTAAGCGGCACACGGTACTCCCACAGACAACCCTGGGCCAGATCAGCATAGCCCCCTGGACAGATCGACTCCCCACCCAGGGAAAAAAGAGAAACTGAACAATAAGCAATAACAAAAAAGACAGGTAGCAAAGAGGGCGGGATGCCCTGAGCACCTAAGAGAGGGGGAGGGGAAATCCCTCAAAGAACTGTAAACAAACAAGATGGCTGGAGAAGGCCAGAGCAGCAGCACACGCCCAACAGTCAGGAGCAGGAAAGCTTGTAAAAGGGGCAGTGGGAGGAAAACTCCACAGGAGAGGGGGGAAGGCCCACTTCCCACGTGAACTGTAAATAAACACGCCGGCCTGAGAAAGCTGGTGCAGTGTCACCTCCCCCAGTGTGCTTGGAAAGGGGAAAGCTTGTAGCAGTGGTGGTGGTCGTGCCCAGGAGAACTCTAAGTAAACAAAGCCTGAGGGGCGAGGTGAGTGTTAAGCTCACTCCTGAGATCTGCATAAATAACGCCTCCAGCAACAGCAGGCTGACAGCAGTGGGCAGGTGAGCTGAAGCCTCAGATAGCCATTCAGAGAACTGTCTCCAAACTCTTTTTTTTCTCCCTTCCTTTGATGAGACAACAACCGAACTACACCTGTAAGCTGAAAAACTAATTGAAACTGTATTGCATTTGAACTTGGGACACTTTATGGTGGTTTTTTTTGTTTGTTTTTTCCCATTTGATGAGACAATGACAGAACTACTTCTGAGACACCATCTCCAGGATTGGAGGCTGAGGAACAAACACCAAAATTATTAAGACTGAAACTTTATTGCATTTGAACTTGGAGATTTTTAAATTTTTTTAATTTTAATTTTAATTTTATTATTTTTTTTCTCAATCCTCTCTCTGTCTCTCTAATGCCTATTCAGCTTACTGTTGATTAGTACACTATCTCTCCCTGTTCATATCTTTGAAACTTTTTTTGTATGTTTGTTTGTTTTGGTGTTTTTTTGTTTGTTTTCCCCTCTTTCTTTAACTTTGCTTTCCCACACCTCTCACCCTTCCATTCTATATATCACCACTGTTATTATTACAAGCTAGAAAATACTTAATTGCACACAGTACAGGGACAATAACACCACCAAGGGCAATGACAGGAAGACAGAAAAAACAAGGAAACCAGTTTCCACACAGCAAAAAATTAGTACAGGAACCAGAGGGAAATGAAGAAAACAGATACTCAGATCCAGACTCCAACAAAATGAAGATAAACTATGCCAAAGAACCCAATGAAGCCAACAAGAATAATCTAAAAGAAGAAATAATACAGGTAATGAATGAGAATTTTATAGAGATGATACTGGATATGGTCAACCAAAATGTACAGGAGACACTCAAGAAATTCCAAGACAACAAAAATAGAGAATTTGAAAAAGCAAAAGAACAAATAAAGGAAACCATAGAAGCACTG